AGCGTGAGAAACATGTCCCTGCTAGAGTCAGGGGGCACTCCCCAACCCCAGTGAAGGAAAGGAACTCCCCCCCCACAACCCCCACTCAATTGGGGGACACCCTGGCTGCCCTCTGTGGTGGGTTAGGAAACTGCTCCCTCCCGCTGTCTGTTTGGACTCTCCTCTGATTCCTTCTTTGATTCCCAGGTCTCCAGGACTCTCTGCCCCCTCAGCCCAGCAGTGTTTCTCGGGGGGCCTTTCAGATCAGTCCTTAGCCATGGCACCTGCTTCTCCCTGGGCTGCTGAAAGACCTAGGTGCTGGCAGGGCTCTGGGATGTCATACCCGTCCGTCCCTCTGGCTGGCTTCCCAAATCTCCATGGGGGCCCTCCCTCATGGGACAGCCCCAGCCTGCACTCTGGGGCATCACTCTTGGGCCCGGGAGAGGTCCTGCTGGATGAGCAGTTGCTGCTGGCCGGGATCCAGGCCTCCCTGAAGGACGCCAGCCTGGAGGCTGCCGTGGGAGGAGTTCAGCTTTCCAAATCCTCCGTCTCCTCTCTGCGGTAAGGGGCATGGCGGGGGGAGGGGGAAGGTGATGCCTGGGGGATGGAGAGGGAGGCACCCCTTAGTGACCAGTGTGGAGCAGAGGCCAGACGCTTCAGCCCACTTGGCTTCTAACCCAGAGCCAAATTGGGGGGCTCTTTGGGCAGCACCCACTGAGCCTGAGAGCACAGCGTGGGCTGCCCTCTGGTTCCCTCCATCTCTGCTGGCTGCAGCCCCTGGTGCAGCTTGTTCATGCTTCATGGCTCCCCCCGCCAAGGTCCTCTCATGCTGACCTGGCCAGATTGGGCTAGCTCAACCCTGCTGAGTGACAGCTACAGGCAGAGCATTGCACATGAGGAGCTGTGGAGTCTCGGGCCACCTGATGGGCAGGCAGACTGCTGTCTGCGCCATTGCATGTGTGTGTGTTGGGCATGGACCCTGCGGGAGTGTGGGCTGCCCACCAGCAACCACAGAGCCATCCACATCAAACAGGCCTGAATTCTCCCCACCTGCCCCTGCTTTCCCTGCCCAGCCCCATGTCCCCACCCACAGTCCAAAGGTTTCTTCAAAAAAGAACTAGATAAGTTCATGGAGGATCAGTCCATCAATGGCTATTGGGCAGGGATGGTGTCCGTAGCCTCTGTTTGCCAGAAGCTGGGAATGGGCAACAGGGGATGGATAATTTCATAGAATCATAGACTTTAAGGTCAGAAGGGACCATTGTGATCATCTAGTCTGACCCCCTGCACAATGCAGGCCATGGAATTGCATCCACCAACTCCTGTAACAAACCCCTAACTTATGTCTGAGCTATTGAAGTCCTCAAATCGTGGTTTAAAGACTTCAAGGTGTAGTGAATCCTCCAGCAAGTGACCCTGTGCCTCATGCTGCAGAGAATGGCAAAGGCCCTTGGAGGGTTTTCGCCTATCTGCCCTGGGGGAAAATTCCTTCCTGACCCCAAATAGGGCGATCAGCTAAACCCTGAGGATGTGGGCAAGACTCACGAGCCAGACACCCAGGAAAGAATTCTCTGTAGTAACTCAGATCCCACCCCATCTAACATCTCATCACAGGCCATTGGGCATATCTACCGCTAGTAGTCAAAGATCAATTAATTGCCAAAATTAGGCTATCCCATCATATCATCCCTTCCATAAATTTATCAAGCTTAGTCTTGAAGCCAGATATGTCGTTTGACCCCACTGCTCCCCTTGGAAGGCTGTTCCAGAACTTCACTCCTCTGATGGTTAGAAACCTTCGTCTAATTTCAAGTCTAAATTTCCTGATGGCCAGTTTATATCCATTTGTTCTTGTGTCCACGTTGGTACTGAGCTTAAATAATTCTTCTCCCTCCATGGTATTTATTCCTCTGATATATTTATAGAGAGCAATCCTATCTCCCCTCAGCCTTCTTTTGGTTAGGCTAAACAAGCCAAGCTCTTTGAGTCTCCTTTCATAAGACAGGTTTTGCATTCCTCGGATCATCCTGGTAGCCCTTCTCTGTACCTGTTCCAGTTTGAATTCATCCTTCTTAAACATGGGAGACCAGAACTGCACACAGTATTCCAGATGAGGTCACACCGGTGCCTTGTATAACGGTACTAACACCTCCTTATCTCTACTGGAAATACCTCGCCTGATGCATCCCAAGACCGCATTAGCTTTTTTGATGGCCATATCACATTGGCAGCTCATAGTCATCCTGTGATCGACCAGTACTCCGAGGTCCTTCTCCTTCTCTGTTACTTCCATGTAACGCGTCCCCAGTTTATAACAGAAATTCTTATTATTAATCCCTAAATGCATGACCTTGCACTTTTCACTATTACATTTCATCCTATTACTCCAGTTTACAAGGTCATCCAGATCTTCCTGTATGATATCCCGGTCCTTCTCTGTATTGGGAATACCGCCCAGCTTTGTGTCATCCACAAACTTTATTAGCACATTCCCGCTTTTTGTGCCAAGGTCAGTAATAAAAAGGTTAAATAAGATTGGTCCCAAAATTGATCCCCGAGGAACTCCACTGGTAACCTCCTTCCAGCCTGACAGTTCACCTTTCAATGTGACCCGTTGTAGTCTCCCCTTTAACCATTTCCTTATCCACCTTTCAGTTTTCGTATTGACCCCCATCTTTCCAATTTAGCTAATAATTCTTCATGTGAAACTGTATCAAACGCTGTACTGACATCAAGGTAAAGTAGATCCACTGCGTTCCCTTTGTCTAAAAAATCTGTTACCTTCTCAGAGAAGATCAGGTTGGTTTGGCACAATCTACCTTTTGTAAAACCATGTTGAATTTTGTACCAATTACCATTGACCTCGATGTCCTTAACTACTTTATAATCAAAATTTTTTCCAAGACCTTGCATACTGCAGATGTCAAAAGAACAGGCCTGTAGTTACCCGGATTGTTTTACCTTTCTTAAAAATAGGAACTATGTTAGCAATTTTCCACTCATTTGATGATTACCTGTTCTGTTCATTCATAGAATGTCAGGGTTGGAAGGGACTTCAGGAGATCGTCTAGTCTGACCCCCTCCTCAAAGCAGGGCCAATCCCTAATTTTTGCCCCAGATCCCTAAATGGCCCTCTCAAGGATTGAACTCACAACCCTGGGCTATCCCTCCCCCCCCGGGGCACCTGGTATTGGCCACTGTCAGAAGACAGGATACTGGGCTAGATGGACCTTTGGTCTGACCCAATCTGGCCGTTCTTATGGCCTCTGTTCCCCTCGTTCCCCAGGCTGCAGCAGCTGGAGAGGATGGGCTTCCCCACAGAGCATGCAGTGGTGGCCCTGGCAGCCACGGGCCGAGTGGAGGGGGCCGTCTCGCTGCTGATCGGAGGCCAGATCGGGGACAAGGCCGTGGTGACATTGGAGAGCAGGCCAGCTTGCCGTGAGCATCTGCTTCCCACAGAGCAAGCCATACCCACCACAGAGTAAAGGGCTCCAGTAATTAACAGCAGAAATAACGGCCCAAAGCTGAGCCATCGTGTTTGAGATCACCAGGCCCTTAGGGAAGGAAGAGAGCAAAGCCCATTACTGGAAGCACCATGAGCTTGGGGGCCTGCACCCTCTATCCGAAGATGTGGGAGTCCTGTAGGGCTCAGCTCCAGGCCTGGGCTCCCTTGGGAACAGCTGTGTGAGAGGATGGGGAAACAGGAGAGGTGAGGCCGCTTCTGAGCTGGGTGCTGCAGGGAGGAAGAGCAGTTGCATGACTGAGGCATGGCTTGGGCTGTGCAGAGGAGTCACATGCAGCATGGTGCCTCCTACCTTCTCCATCCCTTCTCTTGTGCCAGCCCCCACAGGCTCCGGCCTCTTGTTTTCTGCCTGACCCATCCCTTCCTTGGTAAGGCCGTGCTAAATTTTAACGTGAGTTAGCAGCCAGGCTAGTACAGGCCATTCTGGTCCTCCCAAATGTTTGTTCCAGGGCACAAGCCTTTATGATTTGGGCTGGTATTCAAGCCGTGTCCTGGAACTCACAGTTAGGGAGCATCCACGCTAGCATGGGCAAATATATTAGCTAATTGGTGACTGAGTAACTGGCATTAGGAAGCACCAGTGTAGACAGATCCTGTCACTAGCTGGGGTTGGGGGTGAGGCCAGCAGTGGGGGCAGGAGCACCGAGGAACTCCACAGCCCAGGGAGCTCCAGGTTTAATGCTGCTGCCGGGGGCAAGGGATGCTAGAAAACAGGCAAGATCCATGCTTGTGTCCTGTGGAGCCTAAACTCTGCCACACATCGCATCGTCCCAGGCAGTCCCATGGCATTCAGGGTGGGGGGTTATGTCACCAGCAGTCTGGGAATCCTAAACAGTAACTGTAACATCCCGCAGCATGTGGCTGAGCTCCCCAAAGGCCGACTCCCCTGGAAAGCAGAGGGGAGGGCTAGCCAGGGAAAGGTGCCTGCCAGCTCCCATCCCATTGTCTGGAAGGTGGAACCTGCTTTCTCTGCCTGCCCTCTGGTTGGCTTTACCAAGGTGTTGGCTCCTGGACCTACCAGCTGCTGACATGATGGTGCCCTGCCTACATGGGATTCACCTGGAGACCACCAGCATCATCCCCCTTCAGCTGCTTTGCAGCCTTGGTCTATCTTGCCACAGGCTGTGAGAGCCAGCGAGCTCTGCCACCATTGATAAGGGCCCCTGCAGAAGTGCCTGCTGCCCGGCCAGCCGGACGTGCCTGCCTGGGGAGCTACCTGTGGACCCCTGGAGGTGAACTGTTGCTGTTCTTTGCTGGAGAAATAAAGTTTCACCAAACCCTGGGGAGGCTGCTGGCTGCTCTCATTGCCTGTGGCCAGGCTTGGCCGGTCGTTTGTTTCCTTCAGGTCCTTCCCTTGGTGCAGCCTGTGGGTGAGGATGGAGTGGGAGCGCCGAGCCTCTAGCCAGCATCCTTCCTGGCTGCAGCCAATGCCCGTCAGCGGTGCGAGACCCCTGCTCCCCACCCCAGCTCTAGGAGCACAGCCAGACTGCCGTGCCGCTGGAGCTTAGTGACACGTTTTAATGACCTTTAGACCATTTGTCCTGCGGCTGGCCAGGATCACAAGCATACACAATACAAAGGCAGGTTCCCTCCCCAGCCGCTTGCGCAGTTAGCAGCAGGGTTGCACCGGGTGCTGGCTTCAGATGGGCCTCTCCACAAATGACCCCAGACTTCCCTGCTTCTGGCCCGTCTCCCCATTTGACAGCAACTCTCCCAGTTGTTAGTGGGTGCTCAGGGCGCACAGGGAAGTGCGTACACAGCAGCCAGGACATCAGGGAGGATGGTGGGAGGTGGGGCAAGGGTGTGTGGCTGCTAGATAGGTTTTGGTTATGTCTCTCCCCTCCCTAGCCATCCTTAGCTGTGGGGATGCTGAGTTCCCTGACTCATCAAGGAGGTGGAGCAGGGAATGGAGGCCTGGTCCCCTGCCTACATCCAACCATGGCGACTGCCCCTTGGTGACACTTTGGCCTCCAGGGGAAAGATCCCTCCACGCTGGGGGAAGGTGCCCAGGGTGGGGCTGAGGATGCTGGAAGGGGACCTGCCTGAGGCCCAGCTGAAGCCCCACCCAGGGGTGGTAGCTGCCCCTGCTCCGGAAGAACTGTTGCTCCAGGTAAAGCCTTTGTGGGGTAAGAAGCGGGCATGTGTTGGGTGCAGCTGAGCTGCCTGAACCAGCGAGCACCGCCTGGGGGGTAGGGTGCCCCCGCCTTAGTGGGTTCCAGCATCTCAGCCCCATCTCTGTGCACACTCACAGCAGCTGGCGTGGGGGCCTGACTGCTCCCCACATGCTTTGGGGGAAGAATGGGCTGGATGATGGAAGCCCCACAGCTGTTCCCTGGGCCCGAGACAGGCCTGGGTACTCTGAGATGGGGGATGGCCACATGGGTAATTACCCCCCTCAGGTGCCTTTGCTGAACACAGGCCAAGGGCAGGCTGGCTGCTGAGCCAGAGGGGCCCATGGCAGCCAAAGCCCAGCGCGGCAGCGTTTGAGCAGGTGTACGCTCCATCCTGGCTCAGCCTGCTTAGCTTGGTTTTCAGTGGCCAGCCGGGTCACCCCACCTTGGTGCTCGTGTTCAGAGGTATGGGCAGAGCTGCCTTGCAATGCCAGCGCTGTTCAGGGGCTGCCGGGGCCCAAACCCGTACCGGGGTAACGGCCTGGTGGAGAGCCTGGCGCTGGGCAGCGCTACACTTGTCCCAGCAGCCCCTGCTCTGGGGATGGGTTCACTGGTGAAACGGCAGGAACTTGGCTCCACGGGAGCTGAGCCAATCCCTGGGGACTGGGAAGGGCCAAGGCACCATCCCCTGCACCCCCTCGGTGGGGGAGCCAAGACTGAATTCCTGGGGACTGCCCAGGATAAACCCTCTGCAGTTTGGGAGCAGAAGGGCGAGCGACGCCCTCTCTCCCATCCCTGCCAGGCTGGGGAGCTACAGGCCAAGGGCACCATGGAGACATCCCACACAATAGCACCTAGAGATAAAGAGCGCCCCCTGCAGTACAATGAGGGGAGCATGGGGTAGGGGGTGCTGGAGACAGGAGGAGGCAGCCAGCAGGGGGTCAGTTAGTACACACATAACACTGGTTACAGGCCTCTTTCGAAAGAGCACAAATAAATACGTCATGCCGGTGAGCCCCACGTCCTGGGACGGATCCTCGAGCGTTTCTTCGTGCGACAGTCCAGAGTGATGTGGAGGAGGGAAGGGAGAGTGCCCAAGGGCGCCTTAATGCTTGGGGAGATGACTCCCGCTCACACCCCGAGGGGTGGGCTGCCCCCTCTTCACTTGCTGTCATCCTCGGCCTTCTGGGCCAGCTGGCGTGGGACGATTCTGTAGGCTGCCAGCCTGTCGCGCTTGCCCCGGTGGAAGCTGGGGGCGCTAGTGGGGAAGGGTTCGGCGCCTGAACCTGGCTCTGGCTCTAGCAGGGGAAGGGAAGAAAAGCAGAGTCAAATCCAGCCGTTTCGCCACTGACACCCAACCAGGGAGTTTGGAAGAGCGCAGGGCATTGGCTCTGTTGACCACTGGAGTCAGTGTCCAGCTACTCCTTGGCCATAGTGCGGTGCCAGCATACTCGTGGCCTAGGCAGAGCACCCAGCAGCCAGCTGCCTGCTCTGGTGCAGGCCGAAGCCCTGGGCGTGGGCTGGCCTCATGGGTTGGCCAGGTTCTGTCAGCCTCCCTGCCTTTGCGGACAGCAGCAGCGATAAAGCGGCAGAGTTCAGCCCCGAATCGCCCCGGATCCCAGGGTTTGGTTGTGCCATCGCCAAGGACAGGCCCAGTGTGGCCAGGCATGTGCCTGACACAGCAGAGGTGGCTGTTTCAGAAGAGCAGCCAAGGAGAGAATGGTGCCCTTATTTGAATCCATATGATGGAGCCAGGTTTTTTCCCAGGGAAAGGGGGGGGCACAGTGCTGGTGCTCCTGGGGGGCCCTAAATTGGCTGGGACCCCTGGGCATGGGCCTGTGCATTAGTCTGCCACTGCCTGGAACCCTTTGGAGCCTGCCCTCTCGCGTGAAGGCGTATGTGGTCAGCAACAATGCAGCCACATGAGGCAACACTGGGCAGCAAAGCGGGAGATTCCGGCTCAGTTCTGGGCTCTGGCTTCCCCTTCCAGGTCTGGGAGAGGCTGTTTGTCACTTCACATCCCCGCTCTCCAGCCAGGTGAGGTATGCGGCATGTAGACAAAGGAGTCAAGGCCCGCTCCTCATGGGGGGCAGCTAAAGACCTTCATGGGTCTGTGTCTAAGTGCTCACTCTCCACTGCAGTCACTACAGGGGGCGAGAGAACGGGGCCATGCTCCAAGCTAAGCAGTTGGCTGGGGATGGCAGGCGACCACAGAGCCCATGTTAATGCAGCACCTCCTGGGCTCAGCCAGGCTCTGGTGCTGATGGCTCCGTCGGGCTCAGAGCTCGGGGGCTACCCGGTTAGATGGCGTTCACGCTACAGCCTCTGCAATGGCAGCTGAGAGGAGCGTTGATGACAATGGGGGGCGGGATTCTGCTCCCACGGAAGCCAGCACAAGCTAGGCTTTAGACTCTGCAGGAAGTGGCCAGAAGACCCTGCTGTGGTGGGCTTGGCACTTCCAGCCCATTACACTGACCATCTGCACCTGCGATTTTCCAGCATCCCTGGCCACAGGCAGGTAACACACATTGCGGAGGACCATGATCAAGGCAGCATCTATTCCCGTACAGAGCCGTTTGTCGTGCCCTTTCTCCTGCAGGGCAGAGGAAAGGAAACCCTCCTCCAAGCTAAACCACGAATGGTCAGTGCACCTGAGTGACACCCAGTGCAGACGCCCAAGGCACTCTTGTGCCACAGCTCATGCTGCGAAGTGCCAATGGCACCGCGAGAGGAGGAGCCCCACAGAGCTGCAGGACAGACCCATGCAGACGTGCCCTGCAGTCTGAGTTAGGGATGCCCCATTCGTGGCTTCAAGTACTAGCACCTCTCCCCATCCCCAGCTGGCAGTTACGAGACAGGAAGGGTTGTATCAGCACCTAACTGGAATCCCAACCATCTGGCTCCAAACACACAGAGGAGTTGTCATCCACAGACTCGGCATGCAAAGGGGAGCCCACGGATACAACGGGGTCCCCGTCAAAGGGCTGGCTCCGAGCGGCCCAGCCATTCAAGGAGTCCAGCTCACACAGTTCAGAAATCATGCTGAGGAAGAACAGAGTAGGAAAAGTTGAGCCTCTTGTTACCTGGCCAGATGATGGCTTCCAGCAAGGTGACCCTTCTAGCCAGGAGCTCCAGCTGGGCCTGCTGCTGTAGGAAGGATTGTAAGCTAATGGCCTAGTGGAGATCGAGAAGAGCACAGAGTGCGAATTCATTCACCCTCGATGGGGGAAGGGAGGGGGATCCGTCACTGAGGGCTGAGTCAGGGAACCAGGACAGCAGCTTGGAGGCCTGGGGGAGGAACTTCCTCTGTGAGGAGAAGGGATCCCCAAGGGATCTCAGATGGCTCCAGCCAGGCGATTGCTCCTGTACGCCCTTTGGAGGATGGGTGCTTTGCACAGGTAAATGCTCTCCCCTCTCTCCCTGCTGTCAGGGCCAGCAGGCTGTTCTGAGGAGCAGGAGGCAGGTTCCATGCTGTTGGATGCACACCACCAGGCTCCAGGGGAGAAGGCTGCAAGGCTCTCACCAGGAGAAGACAGGGTCAGACCTCTAGCTCCCATTGAACTCAGAGTCCAGGTGGGAACAGAGAGAATCCTTTACTCCTGCACTCAGATCCGTCCCCCTGAACAGGGAGCAGCTCTGGGGTTCCCTACCTCTCCTGGCTCCCTCTGCTCAGCCAGCACTTGCCTCCTCTTTCGGGCCCTCCCAGAATGTTATGCTGTTGTGGGAGGCTCCCCCGCTGCATCCGTGGGTGAACCCCCCCACCCAGGCCTCCTGCTTTCCTTTCCTATCAACTTCTCTCCCGCCTCCTCACGTCCCTCAGCCCTGATCATTACTCCAAGTGCTGCGGGAGGCAGTGGCTGGGAAAGGTCCGGCACAAAATGAAGGGATTCTGATGTGGCAGCCCCATAAATGACCCCAGTCCTTTCACCATTAAAGGGCACCAACCTGGATGCCACTGGGGACTGAGGGGCTGTTTTTAGTTAATCCTTAAAAATATTTCAATGTCATTTTAAAGGTGCTTCTCCTCTGCCCAAGAGAGCCTCTGCCATGTGTTCAGGGTGTAGGTGCCTTGGTGCAGGGGCCATCTTTTCACTGGGAACCTGTACGGCACCCAGCACAATGGGGCCCCAACACAAATATTAAACCACCATAAGAGAAAGGAAAGTCTGTAATTAACAATCCCGTCAGCCTGCTGCCACTAGGGGGCATTCTCCAACTGCAGGCAGATCCCTGGGGAATGCCCCAGTACTCAGTCCCTAGCCATGCCCCGCAGGTCCATTCACCGCAGTGGGAGCTGCCCCTTCCCCACTGAGTACAGATGCATCCAAGCGGCCCGTCCCCACGGCGCTGGTCTAGCTGCACTCCCTGGCGATGTCAGTGCCTGGGTGCGTGGGTTGGGGTTTGGGGGTATGCTGTTGTCCTGGTTCCCGTGACCCTCCCCCTGTGCGGGGGAGGTCTGGGATTTTCCTCCTCCAGCAGCTCCAGGACATCAGCTGGTGGGAGGCCACTGTGAGGCCATCAAAGCCTGGGTTTCCACAGTTGCCCTAAGCCCTGTTGAAGCGGAATGATGTCATCTTAGGCAACACTGCCGACCCACATGGCAGGCGGACTAAATCCCACCGGCTGCCATCAACAAACAGGCAAAGCTCCCAGTGCAGGGAGGTGTGGGGACAGCAAGCCCCAGCCCCAGCCCACCCCACAGCCTGACTCACTGGCCCTCCTCGCACCATGGGGCTGTGCAGTACCGTGGGCTGGAAGCAGGGAGCACTGTTTGTGTGGTGGCAGCGTGCATGGGCGCTCCCGCGTCCTGCTCTGCCCCTCGCTGGGAGCTCAGCCCCACACCAGCAGCCTGGAATTCTGTCCTCCTGTCTGTCTCTACTCACCATAAAGCCCAATCATTGTTTCCAAGATTAAAACCCTTTCAGCTAAAATCTTCAAAGCCTCTCGGAGCTGGTGTAACCCCTCCCCCTGTGGACGAAAGAGACAGATCCAGCCGTGAAGGGAATGCCCGCGGGTGCACTCCGACCCCCGGGACCTCAGGCAAAGTGGGGGGGAAAGAAGAGGGATGAACAGCCCAGCCGCCCTCTCTCGAGGGGGTGTGGGCAGCTGGTTAAAAAGCCCCTCCTGCCCCAGTTGGGCACTGACATAACAGGCATGCACATGCTGACCCTCAGGGAGCAGGCTGGGCTGGGTGGCATTCTGCAGCATTCACCTGGCACAGCTCATGACAAACACACATGCTGCTGGAGAGGGAAGAGCTAGGTCAGCTCATGGGGGAGACGGGAAGAGCCTGAGTCTCAGATTAAGCAGCAGCCCTCTGGCTGAATCCCATCGCTGGCCACTATCCCCTGTCCCTTCCCCCCACCCCTGCAGGTGCGAGTGCAGCCCATCCAGGTAGCCCCAGCTCACCAAGCCCCATGATCCCTCGTGCAGCATGGCTGCCATGCCCCGGCCTAGAGTTGGCTGCATTTCAGAGCTTGGGGGAAGGGACTGCTGAGTGCGCAGCCAGCCACGGGCTTGGGGGGCTCAGGAAATGCAGTAGCCTTTGGAACAGTCTAAACTGCTGCCTGTTCTGGCTCCAGAGCACCACTCTGCACTGTCCGTGTTCCCACAAGGACCCTGGCAAAGCGCTGCACTGGGGCCCTGCACTGCAGGGTGGCCTCACCCATTGCACCCCTCACTCATCTCTGTTGTAGTCCCCAGGCGGGAATAGCTGGGAGCGCAGTGCTCATGTTGGCCTGCAGGGGCTGCTGTTGGGCCACACCAGGATTCTCACTCTGGGGCTGCCTCCAGGGGGCTTGCACCTCAAGACCCCCATTTTGTCTCCTGGCTGTGTCAGCTGATGGGGTTCAAGCCGGGACAAGGCTCTTCACACCCCTCAGATGCTGGTCTGCCCCAAGCTGGTTCTGGGCTTTGAAAGGCTGGATGCTGCTGCAGCCCCTGCAATCCCTCCTGGCTTCCCTAGCATCCAAGTGCCCCGGGAATGTCCCTGGGATAGGGAAGGGGAGGCACCCAGAGCAGATCTCGGTTCCTGCTCCCCAAAGCAACCACCCTTCTTCCTCCTCCGCCCACAGAGATTCACTGCCAGCGGGTCCGGCGCCAGCGGGTCCGTGTGAGGGGCTCGCATTGGCTCTGCACTTCCAAGTGCAGGGTGGGGGTGGTGAGAGACGGGGATGGGAGCCATGCAGTCAGGGACATTAAGGAGGCAAGGAGGGGCTAGCTGGTACCTGTCAGCCAATGATTGGGGGGCGGGAGCCAGGCAGGGCTGTCCCAGCAGCACAAAAGGACAGCTGCTAGCCTTGTGCCGGGCAGAGTGGGGGGCACGCAGGGAGTGGAGAGGGCGCATGCTGCAGGTTAGGAGCAGGACTCCCTGCAGCCAGCAGGCAGATGGAGACACATGTAAAGAGAGGTTCCCACAGCTGTATCAATCGCTAACCCCACAACCAGGACGCGGGGGGCCGGAAGCCCTGGCACCATCCACTTCTCTGGGCCAGCCCTGCCCTGCGGCTTCACGCAGTCCAGGCACTGTGCGGACAGATCCAGCTTCGCCATCGGCACGAATATTCACACTGGCCTGGTGGGGGCCCGTACTGTGAGCCGGTCCCCTGGCGCTGGCCCCAGCCCCCGTTCCCAGAGAGGCCTTCCCAGCTTTGCGCAAAGGGATAGAAGTGGGAGGTGCCAATGTCTCCAGCAGACACGGCCCCGAGAGCGGAAGGGCCGAGGAGTGGGCCCCAGGGATGGGGGGTGATGATGGGAAAGATCCCAGGGGGTGAGGGGGGTGGGGAAGAAATGGAGCATGAGAGAGACAGAAAGAGAGAAAGATGGATGGGGCATGGGCTGAGCTCCAGAGGGACCAGGGTGCTCAGTCAGGGCTGCCACCATGTCCCCCTCCCCAGTCAGCATGGCCTGGCCACAGCCCCCAGATCCCACCGAGGCTGGAACAGGTAAGGGGAAACAAGCCATGGCCTTTGGCTCCATGCCACAACCTGCCAGCATCATTAATTCCCCTCCGCGGGGCCATCCCGGGGGCAACCTGGCAGATCCCAGCAGCCCGTCTCCTCTTCGGAGCTACACTGCCATCATCCATCCATGCGGCTTCCCCAACCTGGCAGCCACTTCCTCTCCTGGCACCTATGCCGAGCCCCACCCTGCCTGGCAGCTTGGAATGGCACCGCTGACCTTTCATCCCATCCCGGCCCGCATGACGAGCCCCCCTGCAGCAGCCAGGGCTGAAGGCTTGGCCGGCTGTGAACGTGTCTGTGTACGAGAGGCGACGGGAGGCCAAGGCTAGAGGCTGGTTCAGGATTGGCGGGCGGGGGAGGTCAGGCTGAAATGGGCCCAAAGCTTTCCCCCGCCATGCCCGGTGTGGCAGCGATGGCAGTGGAAAGGCCCAGAAGTAGCTGGGCGTCATGCGGGGCGTCCCATGGAAGGGGCCAGGTCCAGAGACTGGCAGGCCAGCTGGGTCTCCAGCGGACGGGAGGAGGGCGCGCCTGGCCACAGCCCTGCCAGGGACGTTTCCACGGTGAGGGGGATGGAACGTGGAGCGCCACAGCGCCATGGCGGGGGGATGCGCCCTGCAGACTCGAGGGAGCCCCGGCTTCAGGCAGGGCAGGTTTCTGCTCTCCTAGGAGGGGGCACTCGCGGGCAGGGCAGGGGGCTTCCAAGCAGCCTCTGGGCCATGAGGGGAGAGAAGCGGCTCTGTGGTCCCGTCCCCTGCACGTGGGACACCGCGTTAACCAGGGATGTCAAGGGGAGGCCCCAGCACTGCCTCTCTGGCCCCCGGAGCCTGGCGGAGCAGGCTCTGTCTATGGGGCTGAGGGGTTGTGGCAGGATGCTGCAATGCAAAGCCCTATGCCCCCCCGGGAGGCTGGTGCCAGTTCCGGGTGCAGTGTGCAGAACAGCAGTGGGTGAGCGAGCGGCTGGTGCCCTGTGCTTACCCAGGTGCCCTTCTCCCCCTGCTCGCCTTTTGGACCCAGCTGCCCCTGAAACAGAGACAAGAGAGATGCCAGCGTGAGCCGGAGCCAGCCCAGGGCTGCTGACACAAGGGGCACCCGAGGATGAGAAGCCTGGGAGGAGGGGACAAAAGAGGCCTGCTGGGAGGGGCATACGGGAAGGATCCACCCTTCCCCAGAGTGGAGAGCACAGGGCACACCCCAGCATGAGGAGGGACATCTTCCCAGTGTGGGACAGGGAGCCCTGGGGTGAGGGGCACAGACAGCCATCTCCAAGCGTGGGGCGGAGGCTCTGGGGTGGGGGGGACACAGACAGCTCTCTCCCTGCGTGGCTTGGGAGCTCTGAGGGAGAGGGGGCACAGACAGCCCTCTCCCAGCATGGGGCGGAGGCTCTGGGGTGGGGGGGACACAGACAGCTCTCTCCCTGCGTGGCTCGGGGGCTCTGGGGGAGAGGGGGCACAGACAGCCCTCTCCCAGCATGGGGCGGAGGCTCTGGGGTGGGGGGGACACAGACAGCTCTCTCCCTGTGTGGCTCGGGGGCTCTGGGGGAGAGGGGGCACAGACAGCCCTCTCCCAGCATGGGGCGGAGGCTCTGGGGTGGGGGGGACACAGACAGCTCTCTCCCTGTGTGGCTCGGGGGCTCTGGGGGAGAGGGGGCACAGACAGCCCTCTCCCAGCATGGGGCGGAGGCTCTGGGGGAGAGGGGGCACAGACAGCCCTCTCCCAGCATGGGGCGGAGGCTCTGGGGTGGGGGGGACACAGACAGCTCTCTCCCTGCGTGGCTCGGGGGCTCTGGGGTGGGGGGGACACAGACAGCCCTCTCCCAGCATGGGGGGGGGCTCTGGGGTGGGGGACACAGAGAGCCCTCTCCCAGCGTGGGTCGCGTGGCTCTGAGGGACAGGGGGCACAGAGAGCCATCTCCAAGCGTGGGGCGGGGGCTCTGGGGTGGGGGGGACACAGACAGCTCTCTCCCTGCGTGGCTTGGGGGCTCTGGGGGAGAGGGGGCACAGACAGCCCTCTCCCAACATGGGGCGGGGGGCTCTGGGAGTGAGGGGCACAGACAGCCTCTCCCAGCATGGGGTGCGGGGCTTTGGGTGTGGGCTGTGGGGCATGAGGAGTGGCCCCTCCCCATGTAGGCCGTGGGGCTCTGGAATCTTGGATCGGGGCTCCCCCCCCCAACATACAGAGCACTGGAATGGATTTGAGGGATCAAGCCCCACAACATACACGGTCCCCATCCAGGCCTCTGCTCCCAGGAGAGCCAGGAGGGCCCTAGAGAGAGAAGGCAGCGAGTGCCTGGCTGTGGCCTGGCACGCTGCCCCAGCCCCTCTGGCATCTCACAGACAGCCAGGCCTCTGAGTAAGGAGCAGTGGAACGGCACATGGATTTGGGCAGACCCCTGCCCCTCGTGTGCCTGTTCGTCTGGCACACCATCGCCCACTTGTGGAGTTCACTCCCGTGAACCCGAGAAGAGTCTCTGCCATCCCCAGGGTGGGGGGCACAGCCTGGGAATGGGTGGATGGGGAAAGCCGTTTTTCTCCCTCTGCTAGTGGAGGCGGCACTGCCGTCCTTGGAGGTGGAAGGGGTCCCCGATGGAGCCCTGGCACTGTCCCTGCCTCTGTGCCCAAGCCTGTCCCAGGAGGGGAACGTTGTCTCCATGGCCTCTCTGCCCAAGCTGCCAGCGAAGAAGCTGGTTGTAGTGGCAGAGACAGAGGCATGTGTCCAGCAACCCACCTCGTCTCAGACAGGCCCCTGGACAGGACCCCAGTCTGAGAGCGAAGGGTCTGCGCTCTGACCCACTTGACAGTCACGGAGCCAGGGGGCTGCTCCTGCGAGCGGTAAATCCTCCACCCACCAGGGCTGAGCTCCAGCCTCTGGCAATGGCCTGGGAAGTGGTCTGGTGGCAGGGGCTGGCTGGGCCATCGCCCTGCAAGACATAGGCAGTGCCCGCTGGACCAGCCCAGAGCAACACCAGTGTCTGCACCTGGCCTTGCAAAGGCAGAATGCCCCTGCTCCACCATTGCCCCTGCCCTCAGCCTTGCCCCGTGCACCCCTCTGCAGCCCTGTCCCCTCACACACGGCCCTGGCTACTAGCCGCGCGGCAGGGGCTGGGGGTCACTTACTCTGTCTCCTTTCTCCCCTGGGGGACCGGCGGCTCCGTCAGCACCTGGCTCTCCGGGTAACCCCTGCACAGCAACAATGACAGCATCAGCATCCTGGTTTCAGGGGCTGCTCTCCCCAGCCTGGCCACAGCCTAGCTGGCACCACTGGAGGGGGCTGGCTCCAGATACCCAGGTGATGGGGGGTTCTTGTGTATCCAGGAGAGGGAGGGCAGTTCTTGAGTGCCATGGGGAGGGGAGAAGGGGTCTCATGTACTCAGGGCAGGGGTGACTTGGGGAAGCAGATCACATACCCATTCCAACAGGAGAGATAAGATACTCAGGCCCTGCCCCCCACCCCATAGTCAGCTCCCTGTGCCCCCTGCCTCTTTTCCCCCAGATACAGCACTTACATCGCGCCCCGGAGGGCCTGGTAGCCCAACTGGCCCTGGGGGGCCCAGAGGACCTGGAACAAGAGGAGCAGAACACACTGTGTAATTATGCCCCATATTCTTCATAATAATATAATTCTGATATGAGTATGACATAATTATGATGTATTTTGCGCAAAATGAGGCATGTGACATATCATTGGAAAGTTATGATTTACGGAATATGATTATCTTATTTGTATGCATGTATCATTTTGGTATCTGAAGTTAGGAATATTGTATATGCACCTATTACAAATGTGTTTACACCTGGGGAACGCCCACTAGACAGAATGCAGTTTAGATGGCTGGCTAGGATAGGCCATTAGGGGAGAACAATAGGTCTCAGAAGATGCTAATCTCCCACTGGGAAGCCTTCCTGGCGACGCTACAAACAGCCTCTGAATCATGGCTGTGGTGGCCCTAGAGGGACATGTGACCAAGTCACTTGGTACTGGACTCCATCATAATGCTAGTGTTTTTCCACTGACTGGGTGTGGGAGTCAAAGGGTTCCCGCCACATGCAAACATTATTTAAGGCAGGGGAGTGACATCATTGTGGTTTGTTCTTCACTGACTCCCCACCCAAGAAAGAGGATGGCTGGAAACACAGGAGAACAAAAGGATGGAGCTGGGGAGAAGGGCTGAGCCCAGGCTGGGAAGAGGTCTGGCCTGTGAAAGGGATCCCTGGAGTTTTAAGCTGCAAGCAAGAGCAGCCAGCCTTCAAGACTCTCTGCAATCTGCCTAAAACAACATTTAGGGTGAGAAGCTGTTACACGTATCCAATTTCTTTAGTATATTAAGCTTAGATTGTGTATTTGTTCTATTTGCTGGGTAATCTGCTTTGATCTGTTTGCTATCCCTTATAATCATTTAAAATCTACCTTTTGTAGTTAATAAACTTGTTTTGTTTTGTCTAAGACCAGTGTGTGGAAATCATAACTTGGGGCAGAAAGCTGTTGCATATCTCTCTCCACATTGAGGGAGGGGGCAAATTTCACGAGCTTACGCTGTACAGTTCTCTGAGCGGCACAAGATGGTGAAATTTTGGGTCTACACTCCAGAGTGGGGTGTGCACTTGAGTACAGCACTTCAGTTCTTTAGCTGAGCCTTCCCATGCAGAGCTGATCTCAGCATCTGTGTGTCCCCCTACTTGTATGTGTGCTGGTAAAGTGCAGTCTGAAGCCTGGGGAAGGGCTTGATAGGCTGCATAGCAGTACAGTGTAAAGGGAGCCCAGGCTGGTGGGTCAGGTGGGCTCAGTGGTACCCCAGTTCCAAATGGCACCCTGAGGGTGGCACCCCCTCGGCTGGCAGCACCAGGCTCATATCCCTGCTGTTATGCCCAACCATCGATGGCACATTCCCAAGGGATGTGTATCCCTCAGCTTGGAATTCCTTGTGCCAGCCTTGCCGTGGGCAAAGTCCATCCCGTAAAGCCCCATGGAGGCTGTGGGGGACTACAGGGAGACCTCCACTGGATGGGGTAACCAGCGACCTGGACATCAGAGCGCCAGTGAGGAACGGGGAGGAGGGGAACTTACCTATTGGCCCTGAAGGCCCTGGGGGTCCCGCAGGCCCCATAGTGCCAACGCTGTCAGATTCAGTGAAGGTGTTTGACAGAAGCGGGTCCCCTGGGACATGGAGGGAGGAGAGATTAGAGGGGACTGCCAGGCGGTGCTGGCTTATAAGGACTCTGAGGAGCCCCCTTTTCCTCCTGGAGCCACAGTGAAATGGGCCCATCATCCCTTAGCATGGGCCAACTGCACAGCCAGACTGGGCCCAGTTCAGCCGCTTGCTCAGCGAGATTTGGGCAGAGGGCCAGATCTGCTGGGTATGGCACAGCAGGGACACAGCAGCCAGCCAGCCACGCGGAGATACAGCTGATGAGACTCACGCACGCATGTGCCCGTATGCACAGGCCACCATGGTTACCAGCAGGGGTCAGGCGCGAGCCTTCTGCACAAGCCTCTCCCACTGACTGAGAGGCAGGCTCTTCTCCTCAGTGCTCCGGCTGCTGTCTGGAGATGAATCACACACACTTTGTCTGGGTAGTCCATAGGCACTGACTGCCACGTATGGCAGTCCTTGCTCAGACGCATACACCAGTCCCTGTACATTCAGACATATATGCCCAAATCCATGTGTGGCCAAGTGGCGAGGGCACTAGACGGGGACCCAGGAGATCTGGGTTCTGTTCCCTGATCTGACCTTCTGGGTGACCTTGAACAAGTCACTTGCTCTGTGCCCCAGTTTCCCCATCTATAAAATGGGGATAATGCTATTGCCTTCCTCTGTAACACACTTTGAGATCACCACCAAAAAGAGCTATACAAGAGTGGAGTACTAGGGCCTGCAGAGGTGCACGTACAGGCTCATCGCGCGGGCACAGTTAGACAGGCCCGGGCGCACATGCAGCTGGAAGCCTTGCCCAGAAATGGTTTGATCCGCACCCAAGCTGAGTGGTTTTAGTTTAGCAAGTGTCCAGCAGCTGCACTTTAGCCTGTGGAGGTTGGCTGCTACATCTGGCCACTAGGGGGCAGAGCAGGCCAATCCAATCCAGGACAAGGGCCTAGGACCGTTAAACGTACCCACTAGAACCTGCAGCCATGGGAGGCGAGTGTCTGCTGGAGAGGTGCTGACGCAAGGCTCCGCTGAGGCACACCCTGGCTCCCCTGCTCTGCCTCCCTCCCAGAGGAGACGCCCAGGACTGGAGTCCATGCCTTGCATTGTGTCCCTTGTCACATGGAGGGACCCAGCGGGAGGTGGCCCCTGGCTTCTTCCTGCTGACATTTCCTGGGGACAGCCCAGGCAGGCCCCACCACAGCGGACCCTGCAGCAGTGAAGTGGTTAACGCCTCCGGCTGAGGTACGGCTAAGGCTCCCGCTCCTTGTCAGCAGCCCGGAGTCATGGCTTTGGGCTCTGGCACCTGCCCAGTGAAGTCACATCAGTGCGCAGTCCTGCCGCGGCTACTGGGGCAATGCCACCCCCCCGTGAGACCGGGTCACCTCGCTGGCACAGCTCCGTTCCCAGGGTGCAGGGCACTGTGTGATGGCTTGCACGCCACCTGGGTACAGGCTGAAGTGTAATAACGACACCTAGCTCACACACAGCACTTGTCATCAGTAGGTCTCCAAGTGCTTGACGAAGGAGGCCAGTGTCATCATCCCCAGTTCACAGAGGGGAAACTGAGGCCCAGGGAGGGGAAGTGGGTTGCCCAAGGGCACCCAGCAGGCCAGAGCTGGGAATAGAAGCTGTGTTTCTTGAGGCCCAGTCCAGTGCTCGCTCCACTAGGCCATGCTCCAAGGATGAGGACTGTGGGTGCCAGAAGCTTAGGGCTAGGGACCCTGGCTCCCAGCATGTGAATGAGAAAGGCAGATGTAAGCAGTGTCAGGATGAGCTCCACCCTGACATCTGGTGGTGAGGTGTGGCAAGTTGTGGAAAAGAACTTCAGGGGCTGATCTCATTTGCATAGGCACACCCACCCCGCCTAGAATGAGACCATAGCTGCCCAAATGGTCACTTTGGCTGCTGTGGGATCCCCAGTGTCTCTGTTATTGGGGCAGGAAGAATAAATTGTTATTACCCTGATTATGGGAACTGTGCTTGGAACTGTACGTGGCCTTTTGTTATGATGGAGGGATTCACCATCAACTAAGTAGCACTCGCTAGGCAAGGGTCATGGGTTCCAAAACTGTGTGAATAGAGAGAGGCTGGGGACAAGTACTAATACTTGGTGGCATGGGCCCCTTGGTGAGGGCCTTACATGCTAATTGCACTTCCTTCTCTCTCCACTGTGGAATATCAGAGCTAATTTTGATTTCATTAGAAGTCTAGTTATAGGCTGCTGAGCTCATTTTGGGCTGACAGTGCACCAGCACTGGAGCTCCCCTACTACAAGCTGAATTCACCTAAGAGCTGAAATCACTGAGTGTTGTGTTAAGTAGTGGGGGAGCCGGAAGATATATTGTGGAGCAGTTGGCGGGCTGGCTGGAGTGCCTTGCGGACCGGCTGGTGGAGCAGTTTGTGGATGGCAGGAGCTGCTTGTGGGCCGTGGAGCTGAGCGAAGGAGTTCGTGGAGCGGCTGGCGGAGCGGAGCGCAGCCGAGCGAAGGAGTTTGTGGGGCGGCTGGCGGAGCGGAGCGCAGCCGAGCGAAGGAGTTCGTGGGGCGGCTGGCGGAGCGGAGCGCAGCTGAGTGAAGGAGTTCGTGGGGCGGTCAGCTTCAGATCATGTAAGGTGCCTCTTACCCCCGTCCCATTTCCACCCAGGTTGGGAGGTAAAGCTCCGCAGATAAACTTTCGAACTCTGGGGCGGCCCTGACCAGGGACAGAGACTTTTGGGGCATTGGACTTTTGGGACTTTGAGTGATTTGGGGTTGCTGGACTCAAGAACCAAAGGGAAAAGGGCATGCCCCAATTTGCTTGGGGTGGGTTTTTTTGCTCATGGGTTTTGTTATGAATCCTGTTGGTGGTGTTTCCCAAACATAATGCCACATTGTTTCTCTCTGTTATTAAAAGGCTTTTGCTACACTCAGTCTATGTGCTTGCGAGAGGGGAAGTATTGCCTCTTGGAGGCGCCCAGCGGGGGTGGTATATATTTGTCCCAGGTCACTGGGTGGGGGTTCGAGCCGGTTTGCATTGCGTTATTGGAATGGATCCCCTAGATATTGAACCCGGCCCTTGTTGCTGCCAACTCTGACGGGCAGAAGGGTTACACAAAGATGAGCCTCAAAGGAAACACACAGTTGGGCTCAGGCCCTTTTCTTGTGTGTGCTTTTCTATGATGGAGAAAGACACTCTAGAAGGGTTTTATTTAAAAAGAAATATTTTACATTCAAATATCAAGTCTCATCTAACCTGGGAGACTCTGTGGCTGACTGGAGAACTGGGGCATCCCACGGCGGTAAAAGCTGAGCACTGGAGAGGGGGAGGGATTTCATCTGCTGCTCTGACTTCCCATATGACACAGGCCAGAGACCCTCACACAGTGACTCCCACCTCCAGCCCCGAGCTTCTGAGCAGATGAGCCAGGATCTGAACCTGAGGGCCTGTCCCTGTGCTCCGTGCCGGGAGCATTCCGCTAGAGCACCAACGCCCACTCCGTTCATCAGACTCCAGCAGCCAGCGACCATGGGGAGAAAGGGTCTCTTTGTTAAGGATCCCCCTCCCCTTTAATGAAAACGTGACAGCTTACAGCATACATCTCCTGCCACGCCACTAAGGAGTCCTCCAGCAAAGCCGTGGGAGACTAGACTTGCCATTTCTGATATTTCTAAGCAGAAAAACCCTTTAAAATCCTCCAGCGCCAGCCCCTCCCCAGCTGCTTTCTCCCTCAGAAGGCAGCCACAGGGCCACAAACACATTATCTTTTTCTCTTTCCTGTCACTGTGGAGACTAGTGGTGCTGTCAGGGTGCTGCTACCCAGTGCAAACGCAGGGTAACTACAGCATCAGGCAAAGGACAATAAGGAGGCTGGAGTGAGACACAGAGCGAGTCCAACAGGACTGTTTTAGCTGCATCTGACTGAGTGAATTGGCTCCCGCCCGCCTCAGTGCCAGAGAGCCCGACACAGTGACTGGCAAGGGCTTCCAGGTACGTGGTTCTTCAAGGACACAATGACACCCACTGTCTGGGTAGGCCTGTGCCTGCTCAGTGCTTGGCTAAGAGATCCCACACCAAGGGAAACCCAGGCGCTGTGGGAAGAGCAGCTGGGGACTTGGTAGGTGGTGCCCTGAGCCAGTCCCAAGGCCATGCCCTAGTATAGTGTCTCATTCACATGAGACACAAGCTGAGATCCTAGCCACAAAAGGTTATCAGTGAACCAAGGCTGGGCTTTATTGTAAGGAGCTAGCTCCTGCCCTCCGTTCCAAATGAAGACAGCGCTCTCCTTCACTTCCTGTCCCAAAGTGGTGTGTAGTGATACAGATACTAGGAATAGCAAGGGTTAAATGTGCATTTCACAGACAGGTAACTAAACACAGAGAGAGGAACCACTTGCCCCAGATCACACACTGAGTCAGAAAGGGAACCCAGGAGTCCTGATGCCCAGTGATCTAAACTAGTGGTTCTCAACTTTTGCCATATAGTGACCCTCCCATAGAATCACAGAAATGTCAGACTGGAAGGGACCTTGAGAGGTCATCAAGTGGAGCCCGTGCGCTGAGGCAGAACCAAGCAAACCGAGCCCATCCCTGACAGATGTTTGTCCAGCCTGTTCTTAAACCTCCCATGGTGGGGATTCCACAACCATAGCGTTACAAAGATTTTCCTAATATCGAACCTAAATCTCCCTTGCTGCAGATGAAGCCCAGCCCATGACTTCTTGTCCTGCCTTCAGGGGACATGGAGAACAATTGATCCCCGTCCTCGTTAGAACAGCCCGTAACACATTTGAAGACTCTTATCAGGTCCCCCTCGGCCTTTTTTTGTCAAGACTAAACATGCCCAGTTTTTCTAACCTTTCCTCATAGCTCAGATTGATCATCTTTGTTGCTCTTCTCTGGACTCTCTCCACATCTTTCCCAAAGTGGGGCACCCAGAATTGAGCACAGTGCTCCAGCTGAGGCCTCACCAGTGCCGAGTAGAAAGGGACAATTTCCTCTCCTCTTTTACATATGACACTCCTGTTAATACAGCCCAGAATCATAGAATATCAAGATTGGAAGGGACCTCAGGAGGTCATCTAGTCCAACCCTCTGCTCAAAGCAGGACCAATCCCCAACTAAATCATCCCAGCCAGGGCTTTGTCAAGCCTGACCTTAAAAACCTCTAAGGAAGGAGATTCCACCACCTCCCTAGGTAACCCATTCCAGTGCTTCACCCTTCTACTGAAATAGTGTTTCCTAAAATATCCAACCTAAACCTCCCCCACTGCAACTTGAGACCATTACTCCTTGTTCTGTCATCTGCTACCACTGAGAACAGTCTAGATCCATCTTCCTTAGAACCCCCTTTCAGGTAGTTGAAAGCAGCTATCAAATCCCCCCTCATTCTTGTCTTCCGCAGACTAAACAATCCCAGTTCCCTCAGCCTCTCCTCATAAGTCATGTGTTCCAGTCCCCTAACCATTTTTGTTGCCCTCCGCTGGACATTTTCCAATTTTTCCACATCCCTCTTGTAGTGTGGGGCTCAAAACTGGACACAGTACTCCAGATGAGGCCTCACCAATGTTGAATAGAGGGGAACCATCACGTCCCTCGATCTGCTGGCAATGCCCCTACTTCCCCGGCTCCTCCTTCTTCCCTTTTTTAAAGATGGGCACTACATTAGCTCTTTTCCAGTCATCCAGGACCTCCCCCAATAGCTATGAGTTTTCAAAGATAATGGCCAATGGCTCTGCAATCACATCCGCCAACTCCTTTAGCACTCTCGGATGCAGGGCATCCGGCCCCATGGACTTGTGCTTGTCCAGCTTTTCTAAATAGTCCCGAAGCATCTGGGGTGTGGGGGGCCAGGGACAGGGCTGAACTGCTGCATCTCCAGCCGCATTGGGTGTCTCCTTGGACAGTCACGCAGCCAAAGCCAGTGGTGCTGGAATCAAGCCCAGCTTGCCCGGCTCCCAGCCCCCCCAACCAGAAAGACATGTTCATACTGACTGGCTGGTAAAGTGCCAGGGCCTTTAATGAGCACAGGAGGGCAGGACCTTTCATCTCTCCTCTGGAAACCAGCCCCTCTGAGCGCCACACGGGGGCCATCCCCTACTGACTCCCCCACTGCAGCCCAGCGCCCCCTCGCACATGCTCTGTCTCCAACCAGGTAACTTCCTCCTCCCTCCCCCCTCCCAGCTACTTACTTGGGTCAGCAATGCGGGATACTGTAGGCCCCACTGGGGCAGGGGGGCCTGGGGGTCCCGGAGGCCCTGGAAGACCCGGAAACCCCTTCTCTCCGGGGATGCCCCTTGCACCATCCTGCCCTGGCGGACCCGGGGGGCCTAGAAAGGAAGAATAAAGGCAGGAAAGATCGTGAGGGCTGAGCGAAAGCAACTCTTGCTTTAGAGCTGCAGGCGTCACCTGGGCAGGGCCGCCACACGGGGGACCCTTCCTGCACAGCACAGCTGCCGTGCTTGTGGGCTCGGCCGCCCTATAGAAACCTGGTTACAAGACAAGAAACCACACCTGAGTGAAAGGCATTGTGGGTATTTCCTTAGCCTGGGCAGGAAGACGAGGCCAGATCTGCAGAGGGCTCCAGGCAGTCCTGCCCCCCAGCCAGTGCTAGCAGGGTGCTCACTGGCCATGCTCCAGTGCTGTGTGGGGCAGAACCCAAGCTGCTGTGTGCTGATGGAGCTGCCTTGGGGATTGGGTGCCACCCCCTTCTCTCAGTCCGGGCTGGAGGATGCTGCACAACGGCAGAGCCCAGAACGGTCCTCAGTATCCCGGATCTGGACACGTGACTTATCCCACCCCAGGGGACCTACCTGCTGCCCTGCAGCTGGCACAGCACAGGCTCCGGGCCGGGCAGGGGACGAGGCAGTTCTCCGAAGGCTGGCTCTGCAGCCAGAGGCCCAGTGGCCCCACCTGTGCTTCACTTAACCCTGATATATGGCCAGAGAGGCTGCAAAGCAGGGCAAGGCGAGGGGTGGAAATGGCCCTTCCCCTTCCTCCTGGTCTGCCCCTCTGTTCCCCTCCCCTCGCCCATCCCATGGCCCTCTTGCAGCCTGGTACCAAAGGCCCCTCTCCCCTTTCCAGCAGTAGCCAGCACTGGATGCTCCACAGGAAGGTGTAAAAGCCACTAGTGCCCCCCAGGCGCCTAGCTAGCACTGGCTTCCTCCTAACCCCAGCTGCTGACCTGCTGATTTCCTGGCCTGGGGAGGAAATGCTCCCTGGGCTGCATGCAGGGGTGGGAGCCAAACCCTGCTCTGCATGGGGTGCCCACCGCCCTCTCCCACTAGAGCCGGCTCTTGCTGGAGCCAGTGGGGTCAGTGTGCAGCGGACTCTAGGCCTGGCAGTGCCAGGCTTTGTTGTATCCCAGGCCTGGGAACGTTTAGGAGTAAGAGCCTGCAGGTTGTGTTGGGCTAAGTGGCCCCTGGCCTGAATACTGTCACACATGTTTAACGGGGCCCCCTTGGTGACCTTCTCTCCCTGCCCCTGGCTTTGGCTGGGAGAGGGTGGGAGAAGGCCCCCAGCACAGGAGTCTGCCTGCTCTACAGCCCCTGGCTGGGGGCATCATCCTGCCAAGGAGCTCCTGGTAGTGACACCACCCAGCGTGGCCAGGATCGAGGGCTCCCCAGGGTCCCACACTCCTCCCTGGCTAGGGGCCAGCTGGGACCCAGCACCCACAGATGGGAGGGGAGAGACCCAGCCATGTTCTCCCAGCCCCCAAACAGGTGTGAGGGCTCAGGCTGTCCTGGCAAATGGGTACGCCCAGCTTGGAGGCACCACACCGTTCCCTTGCGCCAGGGGAAAGGGGAGGCTCTGAGCAAAGGGGAGGTGTCAGGAGGAAAACGCGAGATCCTCCCTGCCAGGAACCCAGGCCTGAGCTCCCCCAGCTAGCTGGCTCAGCCCGGCGGGTTAACAAGCCCAGTTGGGCTGTGGCAGAATCACCTGCCTGGCGGCTGCCCCACTGCCTGCAGGGAGCCGATAGGTCTGTGTTTAAAAGCTCAGCAGCAGCAGGTTGCTGGCTGCTCAAGGCTTATGTCTGTGGCTGCGATCACTGCTGCCCCGCCTTGCTCCTGGCTGGTTCCGCTCTGCTCCAACCCTGCGCCCTTGTCCGGTGCCTTGTTTAGCTCTGACTCCGGTTCTGTTCCTGGCTCCAACCACTAGGCTGGGCTCTGTCTCTACCCTCTAGGTTAGACTAACTACGTCCCGATCACTCCCCTGGCACTGCCAGGGTGGGGAAACCTAGCCTGGCAGGTTTGTGATAAGTCATACGCCCCATCATGAATGAGGGGGAATCACGGTGGGGGCTTAGAACACAAACAGGTCTCCTTCCTTCCCGGGGAGGGGAGGAGGGGCTCAGCAACCCCATCCCATTCCTCTCCCACTCCCCCCACCTGCCTTGCCATGCTTGGCTGTTCCTACTTCCATGGGGAGCGGGCTGCTCAGTGCCAGGGGGGCTTCCAGCCACAGCCCCTGGAGTGGGCCCCACCAACTCCCAGGTACAGGGCAGGGATCAGCTCTGCTGACCCCATGGCTCCCATGCTCCTGGAGATCCAAGTCCCACCAGGCGATTAGAAGGGCCCACTGGCACCAAGGGCTCAGCAGCCAGCCCTTGGCCCGGTGGTGGATTGCAGCTGAAGACAGGGAGCATGCAGTGAGAGGGGGCGGGAGCTGGCGTTGACTTGCGCAGGCCTCCCCGAGGACGCAGGGAGGTTGAGAACAAAGGAAAGGGGATGCGAGAGGGATGCCAAGGCTGGAAGGGAGCAGGGTGCGTGCACTGCATGGGGACCTGGTGGGGCCCTTGGGGAGGATGGCTGTTAACATTTAACTCCAGAAGGCCGGAAGCGACACAGCACTGGACACCTTCCAAGCCTAATAAACATTACACAGACCACTGGGACTCCGAGACATGCTGCCAAGAGCAACTGCAGCTCCCAGCATTAACTCCTTCCCCAGTCTGGCTCCTGGCTCAGCCTCGTAGGGAGGGGGCCGATCTTCCCCCCATGTCCCATCTGTGCTCGGGAGATCCCAGTCTCCATGGCAATGCAAACCTGCCCCACTCCCAGCAGCACTAACCTGGGAGGGACCATCTCTGTGTCCATGCAGTCCTGAGCTTCCCCCAAAGTTGCCCCAGGAGCAGGGGGTTCCCTGGGTGTGCATCCCCAGCCCTGACCTGAAGGCACAGCGCTCCCTCAAGGAAAGATCCTTTTGCAGAGCTAAGAAGGATTAGCATGCCGTGGACTAGGCTGATGTCATTTATTTGGACTTTCCAAATCCTTTGACAGACCCCACGCCCTGAGCCTATTAAGGAACTGACAGGGAAAGAGGCAAAGCACCATCCTGGGTCTGAAAGTGGCAGAGACCGAGCAGGATTAAATGGCCTAGTTCAAACCTGGGTAAAGGTTCATCGCAGGATGCGACATGGATCTGTGCTAGGGCTGGAGCGGTCTGCTACGATAATCCCTAGCTCTTAGCTAGTGCTTTTCATTGAGGGTCAGTGTCCTCAGCCACATTTCACAGGCAGGGAAACTGAGGCACTGAGTGGGGAAGGGACTTGTCCAAAGACACCCTGCAGGCCAGCGGCAGAGATGGGACTTGAACCCAAATTTCCTGAGATAGCCCAGTGCACTATTCACTAGGCCACACTGACAAGCATGTTTAATGTCTTACATACAGGGACTGCCCTTGTGCCCTGTGATTGTACAGAACTGAGCACACCGGGTCCTGCTCCATGACTAGGGTGCGGAGACGCTCCCATAATACAAATAAATAATACCTGGAAAAGGAGTCGAGCAATGAGACAGCAGCACGTTGCAGACGCCCCAAGAGAAAGAAGACTAGAGAGGTCTGGGAGGAAATTTAGAGGGACCAAACTGCACGAGGGCATTGGGCAGCCGACGAAATTCCGTGCTGACAATCACAAAGCAATGCAGATTGGGAGGGATGATCTGAGCTACCCGCATCTCACTGAGTTCCAGATGAACTGTGGCATCTCAGGAGAAAGGCCTGGGATGTACAACAAGCTGTTCCATCGAGGCCTCTGCTCAGTGCACAGCTGGGGTTCAAAACGCAACCAAGAGGTTAGGATGCAAAAGGAATAGGATGGAGAAAAATAGGGGAACTACTATAATGCCTTTATCAAAATCAATGTTCTGGCCGCAGCTAGGCTACTGCATACGGGCTGCCCTGCCTCCAAAAGGGACAGCAGAAATAGAGATGGGGGGTGTCAGAGACAGGCAATGTGAATGGTCAGAGAATTCTGACTGAGGCGAGCCTGAAAGGTTTGGGGTGCTGAGAGGAGACAAAGGAGAGGGGCTATGGCAGAGGGGTACAAGGAAACAAAGAGGCTACAGAAGGCCAGTGAGGTGTTCCTAGCCTCCCTCCTTCGGCACACAAGGACAAACAGGCATTCAATGGGACTGAAAGGCAGCTCGATTAAGACCGACCATGGAAATACTCATCTAGAAATGGATAATTAGCTGGCGGAACTCATTGCCACAAGATATCAAGGGTAGCACTGAGGTTCGGAGCTGAATAGCAGTAAAAAAGGATTAGACATGGCTCTGGATGAGAAGAATGTCCACAGTTACACTAGAGAGGGGCATGAGCCAACCTCTAACTAATGGGTCCAGGTTCTTCCCCCAGGAGAGAGGTGTTCCACTGGGTCGGTTCCAGTATCTTCCTCTGAAGCAGCTGGAGAGAGAAGTGTGGACATGGCAGATCCCCACCCTGATTCCTACATCCCAGCCCTAAAAAAAATGCCAAGAAAAGGAACATAGCCCATGGACCAGCCAATCAACATCATCCATTGGGCAAAATCCTTGGCTGGGCTAAGCCTGACCCAGAGCCCACTGGTGTCAGTGGGATCCTGCCTGCAAAGTTCAGGGCTTTGGATCAGGACCAAAGCAAGGGTGCAGCTGGGATCGGCTCCCCCTCTCTCTCCTCCACCCCCCACGCACACAGCTCTGCGGGTCAGACTGCCGGGCGAGAAGCGCTGAGCTCTGGTATAGCTTGCAAATAAATGCCAGCCAATGCCAGGGGTCTGGGCTCTGCAGGGACCGGGGTGGCAGTTGTGATGCCCCTATGCCTGCCTGGTTGTCCAAAGCTGGCATCAAGGTGCAGGGATCCGTGGTGGCCCCCAGCTTCTGGAGCAGTGCCCTGTGCTGGGCTCAGTGTCCAAGACTCACCTGGCGGTCCAGCGGGACCCTTGGCTCCAGGGTTTCCTGTTGGCCCCTGGCTCCCAGGATCTCCCTTGGGACCCAACGGGCCTGGGAGTCCTTGCGGCCCTGGTTTCCCTGCAATGGAAAGAGCAAAAGGAAATACCCGGTCTGGTGCCAGTGCAGTGCTTGCCAGAGGCCGTGCCTCCTTTGCAGGACAGGAGGAGAGCAAGACCGATCATCCCTTCGGGCAACCCCAGGGATCCTCCCCCCAATCCCAACCCGCAAGGAGAAGGGTGGCCGCATCCCTGGGCAGTGCATTGCTCTGTGGCCGCCACAGTCAGAAACCAACGGGAGTGGATCTTGGAGGTGCTGTAAGGGGCTGGGCTGAGAGGTCCGAGTGCGGGAGCCCTCTATCCACAGCCCCGGTCTGCGGTGGGACGAGCCTCCCCCCATGCTGGCCCCTGCCAAAGGGCCTCACCCCCTGCTGTTTAGTGTCCACAGCCCCCGTGCTGAGACAGCTGATGGGGGGCCTGAAGCTCCCCTCACCCCGGAGCCGCACCTGCCCAGGCCATGCCAGGGTGGCATTCTGAGAGGCACACCTGCCCACCAGGGAGGGACAGGGCTGGTCCCCCGAGAACTCAGTGCCCATGGGCGCCTTAAGGCAACGGCTTTCAGCTGGAACCCAGCCAGGGGCACCGGAACCTGTGACCTGGCAGCAAAGGGCTCCGTGTCTCGTTGCCCCGAGCCATCCAGTGCCCACGCCCAACCCGTGCTGCCCACATCTCACTCAGTAAAACGTTCTAGACAGGATCCGGCCAGCTCAATGCCAGGCGAGAGGCCTCACGCCCTGCGGCGCCCTACAGACTCCATATGCAGGGGCAGGGCGATCACCTGGGGAAACCCCCACCCCCAGCCCTGCCCATTGGGGCACTGCACTTCTCCTTCCTCCGGCCTGCTGGCTTGGGAAGCTCCTACCCACTACTGGCTGCACTCCAGCTCCCCCCCGACCCCTGGGCCCGCTCTGACGGCTGCACTGTGGCTGGCCTGCACCCGTGCCTGCCTGCACTGGGGCCAAGCACTCCACTCTTGAAGGAGCTGGTGATTTAAGCAATACTTCAGCATTGGCTTCTGTGTCCTTCCAAGGGATCAGGGGAAAGGGATGAGAAGCAGAGGGGAGCCCTGTCGGGCAGGGGCAGAGCCTGCAGTGGAGACTCGCCCCCCTTCCCTTCCATTGCTTCTCACTTCCTCCTCTGACCCCATCTCTTTCCCTCCCTACTGCCCCCCCAAGGGCATCCATGAGCCTCTCCCATTAGCCTTGCTGGTCTCTGCCCCAGGGATCTTGGGCTGGGAACTCTCTTATGCCTTAGAAAGAAAATGTCACCTACCATCCCGTCCGGGAACGGCTCCCCGCAGCATCTCTCCTGGGTTCCCTGGGAATGAAGGAGAGAATTGGGCATCAATCTGCTCCCTGGAGCCAATGGTCTCTTCTGCCTTCAGCCTGGCAGAGTCAGCTCACCTTGCCACCTCCTTCTCTTGGTGCCAGGGGTGTTACCTGGCACTGGGAAGCAACTTTACTTCTGAGCCAGGCTGGGGAAAGGCCAGGCCAGGCCGGCCCTGCTGAGCAACACCCCTTGACTATCCAGCACAGGCAAGAGTCCAGCCACAGCCCCCCTCCTCTCTGCCCCCCACAGCCACAGGCCTCAGCTCTGCTCTGCTGGGATCCACCACCAGGGGCGCTCTACTTGGACTTCAAGCTCTTGGGGGGGGCACCTTTCAGCGTTATGTTTAGACAGCAGCTGGCACTGGGGGTTCTGTTCAACGACTGGAGCGCCGACCTGGGCACTGCTGCAATGCAAACAATGCAAACAGGGGTCAGAGGGAAGAACAGGGGTTTCCTTAGACCGGTGCCCTTGGGAGCAAAGGACAATCGGGTCTCTGCCTTTGTTTTCTTTCCTTTGATAATGGTGAGAACATCTCTCAGGCCGTGGGACCCCCAAGGACTTAGACTGATATGCAGCTACAAAGGGCATTGCTCTGCCCAGTGCTGAATTGCAGCCACCTCTGGGGCAGAGTGCAGCAGCTGTTCAGCCCATGGTGACCGCAGGCAATGAAGAATACCTTGTCCAGCTGAGTTTAGGGCGGCAGAATGGGACTGGCCATGTTGGGACATGGCTGGGACTCTGGGGCTAACTCTCTAGTATTGGGGAAAGTGGTCTCGAATCGTTAAAGACTCCAGCTGGACAGAGTCTGGGTTGTGTGGCTCATGGGAAAGACAGCGCCTCCAGCCTCATGCTAGGGAGTCGCGCCTATACTGATTCCACCTACAGCGCTGTCTGTAGTGCCGGTGTAGGTGGCCCTTGGAGGACTCCTCTCCAAGCACTTTGCTTTACAAGTAGCGGATGATTTATCCAGTTCCCACTGCAAAAGGAGACTCCATTCATATTCTCAGCCACCCGGGCGTTGCCAATGTCCCCTCCTTCAGGGGGCCCTGATCCCCACCAGGGAATAAACCATCCTCTCGTCCCCATACACAGGGCTCTGCTAACCCATTTGCTGCATGCTTTGGTTTCATTTTGCCCGCGTGTCTCCCCAGCTCTCTGGTCGCCCTCCCTGTGCTCGGACTGTCCTTGGTCTTCAGGGGAGGCAGGACACGGAAAGCAGGAGCCACACCCAGAGATATGGCTGACATCTGCCCTGCTCCTTGATCCCACACAAGCTCCTCTCTCCCAGCCAGTCCGGGTCCTGCATGGCAGGAGGCAGGAAAGCCATCTGACCTGCCCCATCCCTTCAATCTCTGGGGCATGTTGGGTAGGTCCCGGTGGCTCATTTAGCTGGGATCTGCTTGTTGTTAGACTCCCAGCCAGACTGTGACAATGGCGACCAGGGGAAATTCCTCTAGTCATTTAGGTGATCTCTGAAGGTGCCTACTGGGGAAGCAGTAGCCAGGTGCCAGGAGCCCAACAGACTTGCTGCCTGGTTCTAAAGCCCAGTTGCCAGCTGATCTCGGGACAGTATTCACTGGGGCTCTAAGGGCCTGTTGCTCGCAGTATCCCTGTGGGGTTGTGGGCTCTCTCCCTCTGCCATTTCACCTGCACGCCTGGGGCGAGATGGAGCAGCAGGCCTAAGCACCTCTGCTCTTGCCTAGGACCGACCACACCCAGTCACCAAGGACTGGTCTAACTCAGGGCACGGCAGCTGGCCACGCCCTCTCGAGCCAGGTGATGGGTCCTGTCCTGGCCCTCACCACCGCCTTTCTGCTCAGCGCTGCAATGGCAAGGCAGCCTGCACCCGCATGGGGGTGATGGAGCGATTCCCAGACCAGCTCCAGCCAAGGGCCCATTAACAGCACAGCCCCTCCCAGAGGCCCAGCGGACCCAATGGGAGCCTTTCCACTGACTGTCTGGAAGCTGGAGTGGGCACTACCTGGGCAGCCCCTTCTCCCCCCATTAACACAGCAGCCCAAGAGCGCGTCCTAGTCTGGCTACCATTCAGTTCCCTTGGGGGAAGGGTGGGGCGCTGGAGAAGGGAATTGTGCCACACAGCTATACATTTATCACCCCACCCTCCTGCTGCTGCTCTGCCCCTAAAGCACAAACACATGGCCTGTCAGAGCAGGGGATAGCTCAGTGGTTTGAGCATTAGCCTGCTAAACCCAGGGTTGTGAGTTCAATCCTTGAGGGGGCCATTTAGGGATCTGGGCCAAAAATTGGGGATTGGTCCTGCTTTGAGCAGGGGGTTGGACTAGATGACCTCCTGAGGTCCCTTCCAACCCTGATATTCTATGAAATAATTAAAATATATATATATATATATATATCAACAAAATACCAGGGAGGCCTGATAAATCTTCCTGCTGCACGGAGCTGGAGCCAAAGCCAGATCAGCCTGGTCCTCAGCTGCACTCAATTAAACTCCCATGGCCTGGTGCAGTCCCTGCCCAGTGGGGGATGGGACGTGGCAGAGGCTCCACTCTGAGCCCCTTGCTTTGGTCTGGGCTGCAGTGGGACAGCAAGCCCTACCCTTGTCCTCTAAAGACCCATGTCCCTACACAAGTGAGGGGGGAGGCTCTGGGACAGACAGACAGACAGACTGCTGGAGACAGCCCCGTACGTTGGGAGTGGATTTCATCCTCTCTTGTTGCTATGTTTTCCTCCATGTTCATATGACAGACTGCAGGCACCCGGGGCAAGGACTGTCATAGAATCATAGAATATGGGATTGTTTAGTCTGTGGAAGAGAAGAATGAGGGGGGATTTGATAGCTGCTTTCAACTACTTGAAAGAAGGTTCCAAAGAGGATGGCTCTAGACTGTTCTTAGTGGTAGCAGATGACAGAACAAGGAGTGATGGTCTCAAGTTGCAGTGGGGGAGGTTTAGGTTGGATATTAGGCAAAACTTTTTCACTAGGAGGGTGGTGAAGCACTGGAATGCGTTACCTAGGGAAGTGGTGGAATCTCCTTCCTTTGAGGTTTTTAAGGTCAGGCTTGACAAAGCCCTGGCTGGGATGATTTAGTTGGGGATTGGTCCTGCTTTGAGCAGGGGGTTGGACTAGATGACCTCCTGAGGTCCCTTCCAACCCTGATGTTCTATGATTCTATGATTCTAATATCTAGGGTGGAACACAGCAGCCGTTTAATAGCGCACTGCAATGGCCAACAAGAATCTCATATGCAACTGAAACCCGAAGGGAGTGTTTGGGAGGTGGACTGTGTTGACCCAAGCTGGGACTGGGGCAGAGGGGTGACAACTCCTGATGACGGGGATTCACAGCTGAAGAGTCTGGAGGCTCAGGAGAGATTTTAAGCCTCAGGAAAGTTACAAGTGAAAGGACAACAGGGCGGAGGTGGAGGAACCCAGGGAAAGGTGTGCTAGTGGGGATATCAGCCTGGCTGGATTCACCCATCACTGGGCCCTAGGCAAACACACTTCTCCCAGCCTTGTGGGACAGGAGCTGCCACTGTGGCGTGAGTGCAAGATGGGCGCACTCTCCAATGCCCCACACGCTCCAGTCTCCCCTCTGCACCAGGCCAAGATTAGGGTGGCAGCTGCCATGGTGGAGGATGAAGCTGCCCCCTTGGCGCAGTGAGGAGGAAAAGCAGAGGAGGAGGATGCTGGCCTAGGATTTTGAGCCCTGTGTGTTAATGTGGCCCTGGACATCAGGCTGAGATTTGGGGCAATGGAGACCCTCTGGCACCCCACTAGAGCCAGGGCAGAGAACTCCCTGCAGTGTCAAGGGCCCATCCTGCTGTCCTCAGGCAGACCAAACTGGGGGCTTTGCTTGAGTGCATTGGGCAGGACTGGGCTCTGAACTGATGGAAAGGCCCAGCTCCCATGCTCAGACCCAGTGGAGTCCTGCTTGTTCCATCTCCAGGGCTAGGCATGGAGGGGACCTGGGGCATGTGGATTTCTGCAGGAGCAGGAAGGATCCAGGTCTAGGCAGGAAACACACATCTGGCTCTCAGGATGGCTTCCTGCCTGCAGCCTCCAACTGCCTCAGCTCCTCCACAGCAGCTCCCGGCTCTGACTTACCTTTCACACCTTCATCCCCAGGGTTCCCGTGAGTGGACGGAGACCCCCAGAGCTGGTAGGAATCCGAGGGGGCAGCCCCGTTGGTTACGAGGTGTCTGTTGGGTACTAGGGAGGTTGCAGGCTCAGCTGAAGACAGCAATGCCACCTACGAGCAAGAGAGAGTTCCCAGCAGTGCGCCCAGATAGACTGCGCTAGACAGACTTGGGGCCCATTTCCTCTCCCCACGATGGTTCTGCACTGACAGCTGTCACCCGCAGCCACTCAGCATGCCCTTCCGAGGTTGGTGAGCCTGCTGCAGCGTTGGCTCTCAGCAGAACCTTTCAGCAGAGGCTCATGGTTTATGATCCAGAGGTCACAGGTTCAATCTCCCCTGATGTCCCACCCAAGGGTCTGGTGTTGTACTTCTATGGAGGAAGCTTTGCATTGCCTGGACATTCAGAGCTTTGGGGTTGAGGGGAGGAACTTGCAGCTTTGCTAAATGCATGGAGGGGGGCTCAAGGGCCTTGGTGTTCTGACTTGGTAGCCTTTGTCTCTGCACAAACTTGCATCAGCTGAATTAAACTCGTTTAGTTAGCCCTTGTGTGGACACCCCTATTTCAGTTTAACAGCAGCTTATGTTGATTTAGCTTAAACCACTTCCTAAGGCCTTGTCTACACTGGAGATGTGAACCGGTAAAAGTTCTGTCGGCATAGAGCCACCGACTGTTCAGCAGGATGTGCTCACACTCGGCAGCTAGGGGTGGTGCATCACACTGATCAGGCAGAAGCACGTTGCATTGTGGGTAGGCATCCTGGCATCCTCCAAGCCACCTTCAGGCACACTGCCTTGTAGAAAACTGTTGCTGTGTATTGTGAGATACCCAGGAACCTCTCAGGGAACTGAGGGCATTAGGGGGTCAAAGCCCACCATTCCCTCTGTTCTATCCCATGACTACAGCCCTACCATAGTCACGATCCATTTTGGTCAATTTCACGGTCATCAGATTTTTAAAACAGTAAATTTTATGATTTAAAATAAAATAGTAAATTTCACGATTTCAGTTATTTGAATCTGAAATTTCATGGTGTTGTAATTGCGGGGGTCCGGACCCAAAAAGGAGTTGGGGGGGTCACGAGGTTATTGTAAGGGGCTGTGTGCGGTACTGCTACCCTTCCTTCTGCGCTGCTGCCTGCAGAGCTGGGGAGCCGGGGAGCAGCGGCTGCTGGCCGGGAGCCCCGCTCTGAAGGCAGAGGCACCCCCAGCAGCAGGGCAGAAGTAAGGATGTCGTGGTCTGGGATTGCCACCCTTCCTTCTGCGCTGCTGCCTGCAGAGCTGGGGAGCTGGGGAGCAGCAGCTGCTGGCCGGGAGCCCCGCTCTGAAGGCAGAGGCACCCCCAGCAGCAGGGCCGAAGGAAGCGTGGCCTGGTCTGGGATTGCCACCCTTCCTTCTGCGCTGCTGCCTGCGGAGCTGGGCCCTCAGTCAGCAGCCGCCGCTCTCCGGCCGCCCAGCCCTGCAGGCAGTACAGAAGTAAGGGTGGCAATACTGCATCCCCCATAAAATAACCTTGTGACCCCCCTGCAACTCCCTTTTGGGTCAGGACCCCCAGTTTGAGAAATGCTGGTCTCGCTGTGAAATCAGTGTAGCTTAGGGTAAAAGCCCACAAAAGCCCAGATTTCACGGTGAACGACGCGTTTTTCATGGCCGTGAATTTGGTAGGGTCCTACCCATAACTGACTGCTCTGGTCCCGTTTATGAGCTGGCCCTTGCACCTGTGGACAGGGCCTGGGGGGACCCAGCACCTTCTCCGTTTTAAGGACAGGGCATGTGGCCCTGGTGCGTCTGCAAGGCCACAGGGCTCAGACACACCTAACTGGACGCTTGGGCTGTGCTGCTGCAGCTGTTCCTGGAACAACTGCACTTGAGACGCGGGGTTAACCCAGGTCAGAGTGTCCACACAGCCTCCTGCACCTTAAATTGGTGCTACTCTGCATGGAGAAAAGCCCCTGGTGTGCAAAGGGTCGTACAGAAAACCTGGGCTGGGGTCTTGGGAACAATCTATTTCCTTGTGCCAAAGTCCTGGTCAGAGCCATGGGGAATCTTTCTAGGATATAGTGACTTGGGCCTTTAGGTGGCATGTGCCCAACTGCCATGGCCTGGCGCACCTGCTAAGATCAAGCACTAATCTCTGGGATGGGCTACAGGGGCAGAACCCCTCTTGCCAGTGAGTCCCTGGGGCTCTCTATTTCTGATGCCAGGTCTAAAGCAGAGCAAAGGTTAAAGCACACAGAGGGTTAACCTGGGAGCCCAATCCCCTAATACACTGGCCTCCCTATGACATTGAGCCCTGCGGGGTGATGCGATCACAACAGAACCTCACCCGCACATTTCCCAGGGCTCCAGGCCAACTGGTCTTAGTGACACTTCTCCTGTAGCCCTCAGACAGTCCATCCCACGGAGTGTCATCTCCTAAGGAACACACCCTATGGCCTGGTGTTACCCCAACTGGAGACCATTCATATCACACAGGGATAGAAACCAGGCACCAGATCCACCCCTCCTCCCCTCCGCTGCCAGGCCAGTCCCCCACAGTCTGGTCTGAAGGGCCTGTTAGTTGTGTGTGTCTCAGGTGCGGGGGCTTCACAGCATTGGCACAGGTAACTCGCCCACATTTGCCTGAGTGGCAGAGCTGTGAACAGAACCCAGGAGTCCGGAGTCCCATGGTTTAATAACCCGAAGACCATCTGTCCTCCCCTAAATACTTACAGCAAACTGAAACGTCAACCGTTAAATTCCCACCTGTTTCATAAAGCACTCAGCCTCTGAACAGCCATGCCACACCCTGGCTATGCTCTATCTTGTCCTACGCAACTTCTGCAAGTGCCTTAGAATTGCAATTCCTGTGGGACGGGGATGGATTATCTGTTGGGGGCTGACCTCCTGCTACACACGGTGCACGTCTACGGAGAAAGGCTGGGTGGTCCAGTGACCCTAAGTCCAGGACTCAGGCAACCCAGGTACAATTCCCCACTCTGCCACAGACTTCCTGTGTGACCTTGGGCAAGTCACTGAGCTCTTCTGTAAAAATGGGGATAATAGCGCTGCCCTTCCTCCTTGGGGGTCATGAGGATAAACACACTGACGCTTCTGGGGTGCTCTCTGTAATGGGCGTTGTGTCAGTACTCCAGAGAGACAGCTGTCTGCTCCTGGGGTTGGCACAGCTGGCTGAAAACAAAACAAATGCAATTTTGCCCCAACCTTTTGAAATGTTGAAGTTCTTTTCATTTCAAAGGGTAAAACAGGAATTGCAGGATGAAGGAAGGTGTCCCAGGAATTGCATTTCTGGGCAGAAAAAGAAAGCAGAACCTCTCCAGTAGGAATAAGGCAAAAAGAAAAGAAGGGGGAAATGAAGAATAATAAACAAAAATACTTAAAAAAATGATAGCACAAAATGTTGATGAAAAAAGAAAGGCAACTGTTTAAAATGAACAAGCTGGCAGCCCCACTCCAAGTGTGACACAGAATATCAGGGGCTGGACTAGCCAACCTCTTTCTACATTTCCATGAGATTTCACTGGGATCCAGGGGTAAACGTCAGACTCAACATTGAACCCAACCTCCACGAGATGCAAAGTTCTGAGGTGAGACGGTCAGGCTGGCTCCGCTACCACACCCTGTGCTCCCTGATCCTGTACCAGCGTCCCGCCTCCAGCCCCCTGCCACACAGACACTGACCTTGGCTTCCAGGCTGCTGAGACGCGCCGTCAGTTCCACCACTTTGCTGCAATTCAAACACCCTGGGAAATCAACCAAAAGAACAGAAAGTAAAGGGACTGGGGAGAAACCTGAGGCAGGATGGAGGGGCAGCGAGAGGGAGTGGGGAGGAAATAAAGAGGAGGGGAAGAGTGCGGGGCAGGGAGTATGGACGTGGGCTCATAACATTCTGCGCCAAAGGTTCCCTGGGCAGCCCAGGCGTAGGCTGCATGCCAGGGGCTGGCGTAACCCACTCTGTGCCCAGCCTGCAGCGGCCAGGAGTCTGCTACAGCCCCACTCAGTGCTTTTCGCTCTGGAGGTCTCAGCTCAATCCTGGACCTGTCAGCCAAGCGGGTGGGACCCATTGTTCCCCGGCTCCAGGACAGCGAAGCACCAAACAAGTCAGGCCCTGTCACTCTTTGTCATCCACATTCTGCTCCCCCAGGGGGTCCTAACCCTGATCCCAGGAGACCTCACCTGCTGGGGGGAGACCAGAACTCACTTCCAGGCAGGACTCGTTCCCTGGGGCTCACCCTGAGGAGTAAGAGCCCCGCTGTGGTGTAAGACAGGTACAAGCACAGCACTCCCGCAGCAGGGACGATGCCTACCCTGGGGGCCTGCCCCAGTTCCAGCCATTGGGGCACACAGCTCAGCCTGGGGCTGCACCTGCACAGCTGCCCCAGTCACAGGTGCCGACTCCATGGGTGCTCCAGCCCCGGGAGCACCCACGGGGAAAATTAGTGGGTGCTCTGCACCCACTGGCAACCAAGCTCCTCTCACCCCCCGACCCACCTTCTCCTCCTCCTCCTCCTCCTCCTCCTCCACCCCCACAACTGTGTCGCATCCCCACTCCTCCACCTACCTCCCAGCACTTCCCCCCCGCCGCTGCCAAACAGCTGTTCCGCGGATTGCTGGGAGGGAGGGGGAGGAGCGGGAACATGGTGCACTCGGGGAGGAGGCAAGGAAGGGGCAGGGCTGGGGCGGGGATTTGGGGAAGGGTTGGAATGGGGGCAGGGCCAGAGATAGAGGTGGGGTCGAGTACCCAAGGGAAAGCGGGGAAGTTGCCATGCGTTGCCTATGACCCCAGTGGCTGTCATTGGCGTAAATGGCCAGTGTGGGCAAGGCCTCGGGCTCTTGGTCTTCGGGACTTGAGCCCAGGCTAGAAGGATTTACAAGGGTCACACAGCAGGGCCTTGGGAATGTCCTTTACCCGATTTCACAGAAATGGCGAGTGATAGAGATGTTATGATCTAAAGCTGGTTCTGGACCAGGGCTGGGCAAATAACAACCGATCCCTGGGCCTTCCCAGCCAGACCTGAAACAGGCCTTTCTTCAAGCCTCGACTTGGTCAGATCATTTTCTAGGCATGCCCCTTTATTTCCCTTGGATGCCATCAGGATCGGAAAGTGCTCAGGTACCGTGAGGAAGGCTGTTGGCACAGGATTTCCAATCCAAGCAAATGCAGGAAGTACTGGACATATACCAGAGACTGAGATGACAGGCACCTTATAAATATGATAGCTAGAGAGTATGACAATAGACTGACCAATCGATTTATGTGGGATCACACCCGTACTTGCTCACACTCATGTGAATCCTTAATTCCACAATTTGCCAAACCCGGGAGACTTGGAAACTATCTGAGCTTGTGGGTGCTTAACTGACGCTCCTGACTGACCCACTGCTGCTACCGACCAGCTGAGGTCTGAGAAGCAGCAGAAATAACCTGTCACTCTTGATGGGGGGGGCAATTTTAGGGTTGGGGGGCATGTGACCACCCCATGCACTGCCTCTGGTGCCTTTCCCACTCCCCCTGTGCCTCCCACACCTGCTCCAAGCCAGCACGTCCTTGCCCACCCCCTTCACAGCTCCTTCCCCACCTGGTCTCCCATTGCCTGGCCGCTGGAGCGGGCTCGGGCCACCTGCTGCTGAGCAGGTACCTGTCGCTGTGGGTGAGGGAGGGCCAGGGATCAGAGGGCTTCCCCCGTGCTGCCATGCCTGGCTCTCTTCCCTGCTCTGGGCACCCCCTAGCGGGCTCAGCGGGCATGCTAGGGGCCTTTCCCAGGCATGTCCGACCCTGGCGAAATCAGGGGGGGGGACGCCCCCCGACCTGAAGGTGTTTGCAGTGTGGAGCAGACAGCCATCGTGGGGATGGCAGCAGGGCAGATGCATTGGGAAGACACAGTACTACCACCCATTAACAAAGCCAGGCTTCCCTCCCAAGGCACAGCAGGAGGAGGGCCAGAGATCTGCCTCGTCCTCACCTCGCCTTACGCTCTACCTCGAGCTCTCAGCCGGCGATACCAACTCCTGGCACACCAGAGGCTGTCAAACACTGACCATTTCGTTGCAAGTCTTCCGGGAGGTCCGTCGCATTTTGGGAGAGACACAGGTGAGATCCTCATATCCCACCCCCCGCCTTTTTCCTGCCACGTAGGAGCATTAGCTGTGACATTCTGGCCAGATTCCACAGTGGACAATTACACTCTGCATCCCTGAAAGCCCCTTGGAAGTTGCCAGTTGCATACAATACTCTTTTGCACGTCCTGCCCTGAACTATTGTGAATGCTGTAGCCCAGAGGCAGCTGCATTTTAGCAGGAGGTGAAATGGCATTTTATCTATTCTGATCGAATCTAATCAGCCAGGTCCCTGGAATCAATCTGGCCTGTCTCCTCAACTAGTTTTGCTCCTGGTTCTGTAGCAATTTGACCTGAAGAAAGCTCAGACACCCCTTAGCTTCACCAACAATGAATGTCAAGGTGGGAGAGCCTCTTCTGAGCATGAAAGAGGCATAAAGAGAGGAGCTCTCAGCCCCCTCTCCCTGGGGAAATACTCATTCTCATTGTCCAGGGTCAAAGGGCACCAGGAGGTTTGCAGCCTTAATTGCTCCTAGTCCCAACACAGAGCCTGCCCTCCTCACTGTCAAGAGTCCAAACCGTCTCCATGGCTACTCGGGGCCTGGCTCCGACTTTTAAAGGAGCAGCATCTCTTCTTTTTTTTTTTGCATCTGCCATTTCAAGATCTCTTCCCCGCTTGTTCATCGAGAGACGGTCTGAGTCCTAGGAATGTCCTTGTCTGCAATTTCTCCTCAGCCTGCGTCTCCAAGGTGCAAGATGCTCTTCCCAGCTAAGAGTAGATAAGGGCTCTGTGCAGACCATGGACACTGCCACTCAAGTCAGCTGGAGAGGTCCCCAAGGCCATAGCCACCCAGAGTCCCAGACATTAACGACCCAACCAGTCCATCCAGGGCAGAATTGGCCCCTCCAGGTTTCATGTCCCATTTCTGGGGCTTGCCCACCTTGCCCTGGAGGAATCTCCTTCTCCAGAGTGTGTGTGTGTGTGTGTCGGGGGGCAGATTCTCCTCTGCCCGGCATCGTGTGTGGTCGCTCAGTGTAGAGTGGATTTACAGTGCTCCTGTTCTGATGTGGTGTGAGTGGACCACTGATAAAAATGGCTGCACTACGGGCTGAGTAACCAGGATCAGGCCCTTTAGTCTGCAGCCTGCTGAGTCTTGGGGCTGGGGGATCTTGCAGCGAGAAGCAAACATGGGGGGCAGATGGAATGGGATGGGGGAGTACAGCTCTCTTGCTCTTCCTCCTTTTCCTCCCCTCTTTGTAAAACAGACACAAGGAAGGACTTCTGCACACAACGCACAGTCAACCTGTGGAACTCGCTGCTGGGGGATGTTATGAAGGCCAAAACTGTAACTGGGTTCAATGAATAATTCCATAAGTTCACATAGGATAGGTCCATCACTGTTTTTTAGCCCAGATGGTCAGGGATGCAACCCCATGCTCTGGGTGTCCCTAAGCCTCTGACTGCCAGAAGCTCGGACAGGATGACAGGGGATGGACCACTAGATAATTGCTCTGTTCTATTCATTCCCTCTGAAGCACCTGGCATTGGCCACTGTCAGAGGCCAGGATACTGGGTTGGATGGACCATTGGTTGGATATGGTCCTTCTTATGTTCTTATGTCATTTGGTGGCATGAGTGGAACAAGCTGGTGGGTCCCAGAGGCTGACCTATCGTGGTCCCAGAAACCACCACCCAGCGGGCCCTCGCCATTGGAGGCCAAGGACATGGAGAGAGAATGAGCACCCTGTATTACCCTGGGAATAATGGCAGGTGGCTGAACCTAAACGTCCAAGGGGTTTCACAGAGGACCCAGGGGCTGAGTTCCGAGGATCCCCTCCAACGTCCCCTCCTCACATTCCAGGGGGTCTCCATGAAGACCAGTTGCTAACGTTGAATTGGACTGGAAGGATGTGGTTGGTCATTGATCACCTGGCGGCATGGGCGGTGGGTATAACAGGTATAAACCTAAGCCAAGCCCTGGCCTCGCCCATGCTGGTGCCAAAGCTGGCGGGAGCTCAGCTCCATCGCTGGCTGGGGGCCAGCGGGCTGGCGCTGGGGCGGCCCGGCACTAGGGGTCAGTGCTTGGGCTGGTGCTGAGGCTGGCCAGTGGCCTGGCACTGAGGGCCGGCGCTGCGGTGGCCCTGTGGCCCAGTGCTGGTGCTGTCTCCTGCTGTCCTTCCTTGGTGTGACCCAGGGCTGAAAGCAGGGAGAGGCCCCCCGGTGTCACCAAGGGCACTGGGGAATGCGGGGAAAGTGGTTTGGCTGGGGCTCCTCTGGCCGGGGGTGTGTGTGTGTGTGTGTTAAGGGCTCTGGTGGATGGGTGAGTGCTCAGGTATGGGCGGGGCCTTGGGCGCAAGGGGCGGGGCCGTGTGGCTAGCTCACACACTGCCCATGCCTGGTGGAATGTACCCTTTGTGAGAGCTGAGTCCCCCCCACTCTGGACACGCCCCTGCCAGCCCGCCCTCGCCTCTCCCCCGGGGTGTGTGCTCAGAAAGCACAAGGCTGGAGAAAGTCCCAGTGGATGCCAGACAGAAGCTAGAACAAAAGGAGAACATGTGGGAAGCGAGGTACCTCCGCCCCCAACCCTCAACAGCTGGACTCAGCAAGCCAGGCCAGGCAGCGGAGTCTGGAGAGAAGACAAGGCCAAGTTTAAAAAGCCATGTAAATCCCAGAGATGATGAGGGGGAAGGATGCTTGGCACTGCTGTCCTGTCCACAGACACTTCTCCCTCCTGCACTCCCATGTCCACAGCCCCGGCCGTGCCAGGTAGATGGAATTCCTGCCCATGACATGCTTGGAAGGCAGGAATGCAGATGCCTGACACTCCTCGGCCAAAGGACCATGTTGGCAGCTGGATTGGGAAGGAGGCATTGCACGTGGGGTTGGTTCCTGTTTTGTTGCATAGGGAGGGTTGTGGGAAGAGAGTCAAACGGTTACATGCAGCACTGCTATCTCCCAGCCCGGCCGTGGGTATGGGAAATGGGGGGCCTGAGTCTTCTTTGGGGCAGAGCAAAGGGCTCTTTGAACACCCATCTAGCAGCTCCTCTATACTGCCAGAGTGGTGCAAAGGGGCCTGGGTATCCATCCTCGGCATGCGGAGTTAGCACACAGCCAATAGCAAATTATCCATGCTCACACACAGGGCTGTTCCCACACAATGGGGGTTAGCATCTGACACTGCAGAACCAATCCGATTAGCTCCTTGGTCGGGGACAGACACAGCAAGCCACACCCCTCCGCTGAAGACAGTCCCGGGAAAAGCCCAACTCTCATACCTTATGCCCTGCTGAGATTGCAAACATGCCCTGAACCGAGGGACAAAGGAGCAAACCAGCAGGAAATAACCTGCCCCCACTGCACTTGGTGGTAAAACTCCTATAGACTTCAGGGCGGCCAGGGTTTCAGCACTGGCTCGAACCTCAGCCCAGGAGCAAGAGCTGGGCAGACAAGCTGTTCCCCTCTGTGCGTTGACTTGCTCTGAATAGTCTGTGTACTGCACCTTTAATAGGGGAGATGGTCCCCTCCCCCCCACAACTGCAGCAGGGACAGGCAGCCATTTTGTGTTCAGCTCAGTGCAGACTGTTATAGAGACAATATATAAATATGTCATTGGCTGAAACCATCCGGTTGCTCTGGGGAATGGAAAAAAACAGCAGTTCCTTTCTTTCTGCCACCAGGCATGCCCCTCTGTCTACTTCACGTTGCTATTCTGCCACCCATCATATAGCAGCTGAGCACCCTTCACATAAACTCAAAACAAAAGAAAAATCCCTAGCAGCCTCTCCTCCTTATTAGGGTCAGCACCTGACAAGGGGGTGTGCCACACGAGTGTATTTCCGCCTGTGTGTCACTCACAAGCTCTTTGCGGCGAGCGTCCGCTGGAGCCGTCAGTCTTGGCCAGGACACCTGTGTCCCCTGGTGTTCACTTACTGGGTGAGGGTCATTCCTAGCATCAGGTCTTCGGCCCACATTGGCGTTTTATAACTGGCTTTCCACAAATGTTCCACAATATTTGCTCTTTCAGCAAACTCTGCTGCTGGAAAATGACACCTCCCCTTACACTCCTAAACCCCACAAACTGGAAAAAACAAAAATAATAAATAAATCCAAGCCAAAATCCCAACCCCACCCGCACCCCCAAGCGCCGCCCCCGCAGCTCCCATTGGCCAGTTCCCAGCCAATGGGAGCTGGGGGGGACAGTGCTGGTGGCGGGGGCAGTGTGCGGAGCCACCTCCCCCCTCCTGGGGCTGCAGATACATGCCAACAGCCAGCCGCTTCTGGGAGCGGCGTGGGACCACGGCATGCAGGCAGCCTGCCTGAGCCCTGCTGCACTGGGGCCCCCCTTAGCCCGGGGCCCTGGACTGCAGCCCCTAAAGCCCCTGTGTTAATTCGGCCCTGCTAGTGCCTGGCTTCCCTCATTCGCTCTCTCTTTCCCTATCTATCGTTCTCTTTTCCCACTGCCACTCTCTGCCCCCTCCCTGCCCCTGAAATAGGTCAGAGCAGGGGCAAGGGCAGTACAGGTTTGAGGGGAGGAGAGGTGCAGAGTTTCTAGCATGGCACAATCTGCAGCCAAAGAAAGGTGACACCTTCCCTCCAGACCCACCTGAGTAGGTTGCTGGTCGGAGAGGGAGCCTCCGCAGTAGGGCTGGACGTCCGGCTTCCTGAGGGGCGACGTAGCTGATGGTCTCTGCAAAGGAAACGGATGGCATTAGTCACTCAGTGGACTGGCTCATGGGATCTGTGGTTTCCCTGCTGCCCCTGACTGGAACCCCGACCCCCAGGGAGACTGTCCAGTGGAAACTGACCCCTAGTTCCTGTCTTGGGGGCTCTCTGGGGCCTCTCAGCTCTGGTATTGCCCCTGTGAAGGAAGCTGAGCTCAGTGGGGCAGAAGCTTATCCCCACTCCTCTCCTGCTGCTCCCAGAGGGTACAAGGCCCTTCCAGGGGCCGGCTCCTGAGAGAGTCAGTAACATTCAATAGCATTAAGGGAGACAAACTGGAGGAGATCAGACACACCCACCCAGGGCCAACCGTCTACTGCAGCACTGCAAAGGACTGAGGGCCCCAGCTGCAAGCCTGGGTGCAGAGACCAGTTCGTGGGAATGCAGGGCCCATGCCAGCGGTGGGATGCTGGGCAGTGCGATGAACAGCTAGATGGACACTGGGGGGGGGAGAGGGGTGTTGTGAGAGAGTGGGGGCAGAGGAGAGCATATTGAGCTGTGCCCACCTCAGGGACACTCCTCGTTTCCATGGGTCTGGATCACATCCTATAAGCCTGGACTGTTGATTGGGGGTGCTGCTGGGCCAGCATGGGGTGCAGGAATCACCCAGCCTGGGTCTCCCACAGGCCAGCACAGAGAACTAATTGCTAGCCCCGAGCTGGCCATTTGCTTTGCCACGAGACCCCTGCAGGCTGGCGCTGCCCGACCCCCCGTGGCATCGCAAAGTCCCAGCCTCCCTGCAGCATGGACCCTCTCCACACACGAAGCAAAAGGGGCGACACGCACAGCTGGCCATCTCTGAGCCAGGGCAAGGGCAAGACCTGGTGCTGCTGGGGTGGGGGAGCAAAGGAGGATGGGTCAGCCTGGGCCTGGACATGGAGGCAAACAATCTGCCGCACAGGTGCCAGGTCTGGTTCAGGTGCTAGCTCTCTGTGCTCCCCCCAGGGACCCCCCCCCGATGCTTCTTCCCAAGCCCTGCAAGGGATTAACATCTCCCCCTCCCCGCACAGGTCTCCCAGTCTGTCAGGAGCCACCTCTTCCACGCCACCTCCTCTTCTAATGAGGAAGCCCCTGCACCCCACTTCCCTCCTCGCTGGGGTTTGTAGGCAGGTATGGCGCCTTGCTTACAGCTGTCCAGCCAAGGAGACCCTGGTGAATCCGGGGGAGAGAGGGGGGAGCAGGGAAAGCCGGTGCCTTTTGATCTCTCCCCCCAACTGACCAGCCTGATCTAACATTCCCCTCTATCTCCAAGGAGAGCTCCCGCCTGCCCACAGCTCAGTTCCCCAGTCCCTGCCCCCACGGGAGGGGTGCCCCAAACTCAACCCACACGCCTTTTGGGGGTGCGGAAGGAAACAAGGACGACACACACTTTCCCTGGGCAGTGGGACACAATTCCAAGCTCCCAGTAGCTCAGACAGTGGGATGGACCCTGGATGTTGGGAACAGCCAAAGAACCGCAGTGGGGAGAGGGGGCAGACGAACTCCTCTCTGTCCTGATGGCCACTCGATTAGGCCCGAGTCCACATATGAACTCAGACCCCAGCGTAGGCTCAGGCACTGACCATCCAGGCTGACCTCACCCGTGGGTCCTTTGACTTGGAAAATGGGAGCCAACTACATTTGTCAGGGCCCTCTCTCTGCTGCTCCCCCCATCTCGGGCACCCTGGGTCACAGTCACATTCCCTTCCCAGACAGGGAGATGGAGGGGGTTGGGGTGGGCGGGTGACTTCCTGCAGTGGCAGAGGAAGAGCTAAGAAGTGTTGCTTCATTCCTCCATTCGGGGCCAATGTCCTTGGGGCCTCAAGGAAACAGCAATGAATTCCCGCTCCCAGAACTGCCTTTATCGGAAGGACGGCACTGAACTTTGGCCCAAGCTCCCAGCTAGAAAAACCCTGTTGGAATGAAATGGAAGATGTTATAGGCAAACACGAGAGGACGTGAGGGCAATAGCCAGGGCCAGCAACAGGGCCGAACTAGCACCAGAAACAGGAAATACATGACAGCCTCTGTGCATGGCCCTGTGAGCTACACTGCAATTCTGCACTACTTTCCACCCCTCCACACACTGCACCTTTACACTGCATTATACCTGTGAGCTGCACCTCCAACCTACCCTGCAACTCTCCATGTATTGCACCTTTGTACTATATTGCAATTAGTCACTGCTTTCTACCTTGCCATGCATTGCATCCCAGCACTGCACCTGTCCAGACATTGCACCTGAAAGCTACACTGCAACTCTTCAGCGAACTCTGCACTGCATTACACCGCTACATTGCACTAGCTCGAGGCACTGGACAACATCTCTGAATGGACTGCGCCTCCAAACTACACTGCAACTTTCCATGCATTCCACCTCCGAGTCACGCTGCCTCTCATAGAATCATAGAATATCAGGGTTGGAAGGGACCTCAAGAGGTCATCTAGTCCAACCCCCTGCTCAAAAGCAGGACCCATCCCCAATTAAATCATCCCAGCCAGGGCTTTGTCAAGCCTGACCTTAAAAACTTCTAAGGAAGGAGATTCCACCACCTCCCTAGGCAACGCATTCCAGTGTTTCACCACCCTCCTAGTGAAAAAGTTTTTCCTAATATCCAACCTAAACCTCCCCCACTGCAACTTGAGACCATTACTCCTTGTCCTGTCCTCTTCCACCACTGAGAATAGTCTAGAACCATCCTCTTTGGAACCACCTCTCAGGTAGTTGAAAGCAGCTATCAAATCCCCCCTCATTCGTCTCTTCTGCAGACTAAACAATCCCAGTTCCCTCAGCCTCTCCTCATAACTCATGTGTTCCAGACCCCTCATCATTTTTGTTGCCCTTCGCTGGACTCTTTCCAATTTATCCACATCCTTCTTGTAGTGTGGGGCCCAAAACTGGACACAGTACTCCAGATGAGGCCTCACCAACGTCGAATAGAGGGGGACGATCACGTCCCTCGATCTGCTCGCTATGCCCCTACCTATACATCCCAAAATGCCATTGGCCTTCTTGGCAACAAGGGCACACTGCTGACTCATATCCAGCTTCTCGTCCACTGTCACCCCTAGGTCCTTTTCCGCAGAACTGCTGCCTAGCCATTCGGTCCCTAGTCTGTAGCTGTGCACTGGGTTCTTCCGTCCTAAGTGCAGGACCCTGCACTTATCCTTATTGAACCTCATCAGATTTCTTTTGGCCCAATCCTCCAATTTGTCTAGGTCCCTCTGTATCCTATCCCTGACCTCCAGCATATCTACCACTCCTCCCAGTTTAGTATCATCCGCAAATTTGCTGAGAGTGCAATCCACACCATCCTCCAGATCATTTATGAAGATATTGAACAAAACCGGCCCCAGGACCGACCCTTGGGGCACTCCACTTGACACCGGCTGCCAACTAGACATGGAGCCATTGATCACTACCCGTTGAGCCCGACAATCTAGCCAACTTTCTACCCACCTTATAGTCCATTCATCCAGCCCATACTTCTTTAACTTGCTGACAAGAATACTGTGGGAGACCGTGTCAAAAGCTTTGCTAAAGTCAAGAAACAACACATCCACTGCTTTCCCTTCATCCACAGAACCAGTAATCTCATCATAGAAGGCGATTAGATTAGTCAGGCATGACCTTCCCTTGGTGAATCCATGCTGACTGTTCCTGATCACTTTCCTCTCATGTAAGTGCTTCAGGATTGATTCTTTGAGGACCTGCTCCATGATTTTTCCAGGGACTGAGGTGAGGCTGACTGGCCTGTAGTTCCCAGGATCCTCCTTCTTCCCTTTTTTAAAGATTGGCACTACATTAGCCTTTTTCCAGTCATCCGGGACTTCCCCCGTTCGCCACGAGTTTTCAAAGATAACTCCTTGCATCTCAGCCTCACTTTGACCCAACAATAGTGCATGAGCACCCTGCATTGTGCACATGCCTCGGCTTTGCCACCTCAGTGCCCTATGTGCTACTCTGCACCATGCTCTGTGGAACTCCCTGCTGCAGGAGGCCATTGAGACAAAAACAGTTGCTGGATGTGACAAAGGGCTGAGTGACATTATGACTGTTGTAATAACTTTGGTTGCTCTGCAAGCTGCGAGTGATCAAACCTCATGTTTCAGGGTGTCTGATGAATCCCAGGAAGTACCCTTTCCAAGTACACCTCCAGGCACCAGCAGGGGAAGGTTTGCCGGAAGGGCCCGTGTTTCCCCTGTACACTGGCGCATGCCCAGATCCAAGATTAAATCTGCTCCCAGATCACTGCGCACCCTGCAGTTGGCACTGGAGAAAGGCACAGAGGGCACCAGGAAGTGTCAGGCTGTGGAGGGGGAAACAACATAGTGGGAATCAGGGGAGGGACAGTGCAGTGGACACTTGTGGGTGTCGGCATTAGGGGGCAGAGAGCGTCTGTAGGGGCAGGAACACATGGGCATCAGGGTTGGTGGTGGAGCAATGAGGAGGGCTTCAGGGGGGCAGGCCACAGTCTAGCAGGAATGAAGGATGAGACATGTGCAGCACCCAGTGGGGATGGCACAGGGGGAAGGGGAGGTATAGTGGCATTGGAGAGTGGGAGGGCATGGTGTGGTGGGCAGCATATGCAGGGCATAGTGGACAGTCACTGGGCGGACAAGGCTTGGAGTGTCCCGCATTGCATTGCGTGGGGCTGCCCTACAGGCAGTATGCGCAGGCAGGTGGGTGGGATCAGTCCTGAGGCCACGTGACATGAGCACAGCTGAGTTCGCCCCACACTCAGGCACCTGTCCAGGTCCTGCCTCTCCTTAGTGCATTTGGAGGAGCTGGAGTTTGGGTCTGCAGAAAGGGGCCAAACTTTTGGGATCAGGGCCTGCTGTCACCAGATCCTGCACTGGGGCAGGCAGAGACTGTGAGAGTGAGTTAGCATGGGACTCACCTGTGGGACTCACTGCTGCAGCCTAGTATCCTAACGAACTGGCTGCTGTGCGCGAGCCCTTCCCTCCACTGGCTGCAATGAGAATTGC